ATGGGGAGGGGGGGGAGCAGCTTCTAGAATCGAGCGGAACATGTCCCCGGAGCACGATACAGAGGCAAAAGAAGAAGAAGAGGGTGGGGGGGGTGTGTGTGTGTGGGTGCGGGTTGTGTGACAAGGGTTAAAGGGGGAAGATGGCAAGGAGTCGATGGAGGGTGTGGTGTGTTGGCTGGCACGTGCCTGATGTTTTCAGGCTGCCCAGAGCCCAGATCAGAGCATTGGCAGGATGGACACGGATGTGATAGGCCATCCGAGGAATCAGTCGAGGTTTAAACACGGGATACAGCCCATCGTCTGTAGACTACCGTACAGGTAAAGATGGAGGTCGGCGTGTTACTCGTAGGCTGTAGCCCGTAGCTCCTCGGTATCTCCCCAGTATCCCCCGGCATCGTCGTTGCCCCAACCTCCACCACCTCTCAGGTGTCCGCATGTGCCCCGCAGGTTTAGCTCACCGAACTAATCTGCAGACCGGGGCACACTTCGTCCTGGAGGCTGGATGGCAGGAGGTGGATGGCACGACTTTGAACTCGTATAGAGCCCTACGATATATCCATCCCTCAGTCCATAGACGGAAGGTTGGGCGGTTGGGAGGGTTACACTGCACAGCCCGAGCTGCGACACGCGGCTCCAATGCACCTGCAAGCAGTCTTCACGGCTTGGTCGGCATCCCGTATCAGAGCTGGTCGCACCGCGCATTCGCAGCATTGCACCGATGCTACTCTGAGCTCTCTGGGTGCTCCGAAGTCTCTGATGGCTCGCACCACATGGTATCGGATGCAGTCTTCTGCTCTGCACGTTTCGATTCTTGGGCAAATGATCGAGACCAAAAGTCAGGACCCAAGTTCCAGTCCATCTTTCAATTCCTGGGGGTGTGAGTGGAGCCTTCTGTTGCCTTTGTCCCGGGTTTCCAAGAAGGAATTCCCCTGTCGTTCCATGTCTCTCTTTTTTTATTTTTGCTTTTGTGCTGTGCCTGTGGACTGGCCACGTCTCCGGTTTCGGCCAGGCCGGGACTCATTCACACACACTCTCTCTCTCTCTCTCTGTCTCTCTCTCTCTCTGTCTCTCTCTCTCTCTCTCTCTCTCTCTAAACAGCTGCCTCCATGTGGCATATTAACGGTCGATATTCTGTCACCTATGGAAAAGGTAATGGCATGTTTGGGAAACCCTCTGACGAGACACGCTCCAGTGGTATTTACCGTGGACAGATGACATTTTCCTCCCCATATATCAATTGACTAGGAAGAGGAATGCCATCCCCCCAGTTATCCTTCTTGCTTTTCCGTTCTTCTCTCCCGGCCTCGGCTTCTGAATCAGAGCGAAGGGAAAAGCAGGGAGCCGTCCCTTGGGCCTTGGTACCTTTGTGTATCTATTCGGTGAGCCGGCAGTGAGAAATCGTACAGGTACGACGAGTAATAGTGCATGTACCGCTAGTCCCCGGCCATCCCGGTCACCTGTCCAGGCTGTCGTCCTTCTTATTACCTCTCTGCCCACGGGCCACCGCCGCTGATTCCAAGGTTTCCCCCATCCGCAGCCCCCCACCTTTCCGGATTTCCTTTCTGAGCTGGTGCGATACGGCTCTGCTATCAGGTGGTATTATTAGCATTGTTATATTATGCGTATCCGTGCAGGTAATAATGCTCCGTACATTAATCGCTATTACTACCCAACTTCGAATCCCGACATCTCTCTGCTTCCTGTATCACGATCCCTCCCAAGACCGCTTCCGATCGCGCTTCCGACCGCGCTTCCGCTTGCGCTTCTACATGCCATTTGCACCGGATAGGGGTCGACCGTCTGCTTTCTCGCCCTTTCCCGGGGGGTGACCCCCACCGCCTCTGCTAGTGAGAGGTAATACTGTACGGCCCCGATCCTCGTAGATGTTGGGGGGGTTGCCAGCTGTCAATATTCGCGAGTATCATCAATAGGGGTGTCAGTACTAGACTGGTGCCCTGACATGATTGTCGTCGTACGCGTGCTTGAATTTTCTCCTGTCACGAGGCACCTCTCTTTGTGTCTTAGTTCATGCCTTGGGGCAATCGGACATCCATCATTGGTGGCAAGATATTTTACCTTCCCTTTCTCTTCCCTCTCTTCATCTCTCATTCTTCTCATTGGGTCTCCGATCGATTCGTCCCATGTGCTCCTTGAGAAATTTGCCTATCAGTCTCCTCCCTCGCGCCCTCGCTTGTTTCTCGCCTCCTCCCCGGCAATTCTTCCATCCTTCTTCCATGCACGCCCACCCCGTTGCAGCCTGTTCACGTGCTCCTCTCCAATTTGGGAGGGCTCATCATCTTTGGCCAAGACGACCAGTCAGACTCTTCCCGTCCAGTCAGACGATGTGAATGACAAATGTCGAGAGTGTTGAGTTACGTCTGATAGGATGATAATTTCCCATGACTGACAATCGCCAGTTTTTTTTTTTTTTTTTAGTTTTTTTTCCCCCCCAATAATACACCATCGATTGAAGAACTCGCCATCCCGTAATACTTATACTTGTACATTGTGCTGTGTATGGACGCATCGTGGAGGCTTGACGCCGGTGGCAGGTGACACTTCCCCGAGCCTTGTCGGCCTCTAGTGTCTCAACTCTACCCTGTATTGTTGCATCAGTCAACTACCCGCACCTTCGCATACCTGATTGGCAATTTCACAGATCGGATTTCGAAGCATGGTGATACCAACTGCCACATCGACTTGGCCGGGGATGGGAGCCGACGCACTATACGAGTACATACATAGTAATATGGCGTTCTTTTTTTCTTTCTTTTTCACTTCTTCCTTGGCTGTACGAGTAATAATACAGGTATGAATTGCTCGAACAAAGGACCCGCTCCGAGGTTCAAAAAGAGTTGAGCCCTGGAAGATCCCAATCCACTAAGTATTGAACTAGAAAATCAGGGGTCTGTTATGGAGTCAAAAAGAGAGGAGAGAGATACACCCATTCACTCGTTCCCCGCAACTGAGGGGGAAAAAAATAAACCCCATGTTTCTATTACATGTGGGGAGTAATATTTGCTAGGAATGTCAATGGCTTCAGCATCAGCAACGGATTAGTTACTATTCCCGGATTCAGAACCCAACACGAAATGACTTCATCCGAAAGCCCAAGAGATCTTTCATCGACCAATACTGGAGAGCGATACCTGGACCTACCGACGTTCCATGTAATAGGTCACCACCACGTCGCTGTTGACAGCAGTCATCAATGTCTTTGGCTTGCAGCTACCCGGCAGCCAGAATCGTGTGCTTCCTGCTGGCGACAACATACGATGACCCGTCTGCGCGAACACGGTGGTCTCTGCCTACTGGTACGTCCTGGGTCGATGAGTGTGTGTCCCGGTGCTTGACTATTCAAAAGGAAAGGAAATCTATCTATGAGGTTATCTACAGATGTGAGTATGGGAGCAGCCTCTGGCTGCTTAGTCATATACAATCTTGGGTGCCACAATCGTAACGGCAGACGGTAATATCATTGAATGGACACAGTCATCCAGGTTGTCGCCAATCGTAACAAGGATGGTTATAAATGCCCTTTTCGTAATCTCTCCATTACTGTACTTACTACATGGCGCCTTCTTCTCAGTGCCTCTCCGTCAGCTGCGAAAATCTCACTTGTTCTTGTGCTTGTCTCCTGTTTTTCTCGAGGTACTACCCAACTTCTTATTTCCTGCAATCTCTCATTATCTAAATTTAGACCCTCCCAACTTGTATAGACAAAAGCCAAGTCTAGGCTAACATGATAAATTCTCCAACTGCAAAATTCCGTATTCTGTTGTGTAATCTGTAAGCCCCGCCAAGCTTCACGTACATATACACGCTGTACAATGCATCTCGTACTCCAGTCGAGACTCAAAAGTGGAGAGGGTGGGAGCGGGCGGGACCGGAACCGTGTGGAACTCCACCCCCCCTCCCCCACTCCCCAAGCCGCCAACTGGACCATCCAGCCCTGTGAACAGGAAAGGGGGGTCCTGATCTGGCGCCCCCATTCATATTATATGTATATCCATACTATGTATATCCATACTTTGTATTATCATGTCATGCCTGCTGCAGTTCTCATGCCGTACTCGTAAATATGCTATATGCACGATGCACGAATGGTGGATGGCGTCCCGCCCCCCCCCCCTCTCCCCCCACCCAAAAAAAAACCCCGGTCATATCTTGGCAGCAAATACAGGTCCGACGCTGTAGCACCGACTGGCGACGAGGAACATGCAGCCGAGAACGATGGAAGAGGCCGAGAATACCTCAGCCCACAGGTATCGACCGCCATCCCCCTGTATCAGGGCGCCCTGGATGGACGGACCGGTAAGCGTGGCAAAGCTGACGATGGTCAAGACCATTCCCGTCCAGGTGCCCACCTTGTCAGGCTCGTGAGCCTGGCTGGTGGCGAGCGTGGGCATGAGGGACTGCATCGCGCCGGAGGAGATGCCGTACACGACGACCCAGGCGTACAGCCCGGCCGTGCTGCGGATGGCGGCCCAGCAGTAGACGCACGCGCTGCAGGCGACGGAGAAGAGTATGGCCATGTTGAGGGTACCGATGGTGCGCTGGCTGATCATGTTGGGCACGACGCGGCCGGCAACGCCCACGCCGTTGATGATGGTGATGAGGCTCAGCGTGTCCTCCACGTGGAGCGTCTGCCTGGCGTAGATGCCGAGGTAGAAGAAGGCCATGTACAGGCCCCAGAAGTGGAGGAAGAAGCCGATGGTGAAGCAGACAAAGGGTCCCTCGCGGAACGCCTGCCAGTCGATGAGCTGCCTCCCCGTACGCTTAGGGAGATGGGACCGGAACCCCACCAGGGACGGGATGTGGGTACAGAGTACGATGAGCGCGACGGCGCGCATGGCCCACCCGTACCCGACGGCCGGGTTGCCGAGGAGCTGGCTGACCACGGCCGGGTAGACCATGCCGCCGGTAGAGGCCCCGGCCGCCGAGATGCCCAGGGCCAGCGCCCGGTTGGCCTTGAAGTACGAACTCGTCACCGAGAGGGACGGCGTGAAGAGGAGCCCGTGGCCGAGGCCGACGCATACGCCTTGGCTCAGCAGCACCTGGTAGTACCGGTCGGCGAACGACAGGAGTACGAAGCCGATGACCTGCAGGAAGGCCCCGGCGAACAGGCAGTGCCGAAAGTAGCCCGCGTCGGACGCGCGCCCGGAGAGCACGCCGCCGCCCAGGAGGAGGAACATCTGCAGCCCGCCGACCCACGCTATGCTGCTTGGACCCACCCCCAGAGTGTGCGTGTAGTATTGCTGGAAGACGCCGTAGCTGTTGGTGATGCCCCAGGTGTTGAAGAAGACCATGTGGCACAGGAAGGCGTGAAGCCAGGCCCGAGTACCGCCGTCTATCGGAGCTGGCGGCTGGTGGTGGCCATCCCTTTCACCACCGTGATTGGTCGGGTTATCAGAGCTGCCACTGGGCGTGATATCCACTGCGGCAGTCATAATGGAGCTCTGACGATCTGCTGAAAACACCAAAAAAAAAAAAAAAAAAAGTTGATATCGCTCTTTATTCCTTCTTCTTTCCTTTTCTCAATAGGAAAGATGATCAATATGAAGTTGCAGAATCGTCTCTGATCTCATGTTGAACCTCTCCCCTTTTCCTTTTGAATGAATTCCTTTTAATCATGTCAGCAGAGAGCCTTCTACCTGGGGAGAACTGAGGCGGAGGACGATGTCCACCGCAATACCCGCACTACCCGACTTACACCGGTAACAGCAAATCCGCGGAATAAGGGCGCCTTGAACCCTCGATGATTGACACGGCCACAAGGCAGGGTGCAGCAATTAATCCCGCCATGTATGCGAGAGCTATTCTTTGTCGAGGGCTTCCTTTGCTGTCGTCGTCACCCAGTGTGATAGCCATCGTGGTAATGGTAATTGTAGATCATGTTGTAGACACTAAGATACTCTGAAGATGCAGACGGACAAGAGATGCTGTTTCATCGCAGCCATTATTTCGATGAAGAGAAGGAGCAAGCTGCCATGGTAGAGATGTCAGGAGCCCCCGGCGTAGAGGCACAGCAGTATTATGCCCTCATATTACCGCCAACATTACCAGCGGCGTGTCCCACTAATACAACTACGGTATATTACCGCCGAAAGCAGTCAGCAGTTCAACGATTCCTGTGTATTAGCGACTTTCAATTGGCCAATCTGCATCGTCAGCTGCCAATAACGGACTTTTAATCAGTCTAGGATTCTCGGTCACTATAGATTGAAAGAATCGCATAAGGTAAGAGATCAGACATTACTTCTCAAAAAAAAAAAGAAACCCCCAATTAGAGTTGTGGCGTTGATCATGGGCGACGTACAATATACCTGGTAATAATGCTACAAGTACGGAGTACTCGTACATGTAATAAAATGCCATTAATACTGTATGCCGTATTATTACGAGATAAAAACGGGGCAACGTTCTATAGCACTCGGAATTAACTACGGGAGTAAAACCGAGAGGAGGGGCCGCAGAAGAGGAAAGAAGAAAAAAAAAGGAGGGAAAAGTGTGACGCAGCCCACAATTGCGGCACGAAGCGGATGCGATAGCGTTGTACGGAAGTAAATGGAAATGGAAACGTCATCCCGACTGGTGGTCTAGCATGGACGAGCTCCACTTCGGGGCGATGACTGTTCGAGACTACAACCAACGAAGGCATTCGTGTAGTAATGAAGCCGACGTAGGAGCCCCGCTGATGCCGCAGCAGCCGAGCCGTGGCCAAGTCGATTCTCCACCACAACCTGCATCTCATCCATCATCTGCACGGGAAAACAACATGCCGGAACAATTTTCCGTGACTAATTATAAGGAAAAGTGAGTGAGCGAGGGGGAGGGCAAAAAAAAAAAAGGGAGAAAAAAATGAGTCCGGATAAACACAACACTTCAGATACCGACGCGTCACTGAGGCGCCGTCGCGCGAGGGTGGCCTGTCGTCCTTGTCGTGAGCGTAAGAGACGATGCGACGGCCATCTCCCGTGCAACACATGCGTGCGCTACGAGTACGACTGCTACTATGCCGCCTCGTCCCCCGACCACGCGCGAAGGGGGGGTCACGGTGCGCATGGCGTGAATGGGACGGTGACTTCAAACAAGCTGCCCTCGAGGCCGAGCACGACGACATCGACACCGACCATGACGACGACGGCGAGGCGTGCGACCTCGCTGCCGCCGGATCAGGTCCACGAGTCGGGACGGCGACGGCTGGTGGACTCGGCGCACGTCGAATCCGTCGAGGCCAACTCAGGCGCAGCATTCGCGCGCAAGTTGGGTCTCAAGATTGACCCCAACAATGCCCCCAGGCTGCGACTCTTCGCCTGGAACACGGGCGAGAGGCTTGTCGGCCTGCCGCCCGGTACGGTCCTGCCAATCACCAGCCTACTCTCGCGCGAGACCATGGTCGAGCTGGCCGAGACCTACTTTGAAAAGGTGGCGCTGGTCTACGGCTTCATCGACCGGCCCGAGCTGTTCCGCCGGCTCGACGAGCGGTGGGCCAGAGGCAGCGTGCCCGACCCGTACGACCAGGTGCTGTGCGGCGTGGCCGCGCTGGGCTTGCACTTCTCGGTGACGGTGCCGCCGGCGGTGGAACCGGACCTGGTTGAGACGGCGCGTGACCTGCTGGACAAGGCCGTCCTGGACCCTTGCGTCTCCATGGACACGGTGACGGGGTGGGTGCTGCGCGTGGCCTACCTGCGCATGTCGTCGTCGCCGCACATGACCTGGATGGCCAGCTGCACGCTCATGCACGTGGCCGACGCCGCCCGCATCCATCAGGAGGGCCCCTGGGAGACGGTCCTGGACGAGGGGTCGCGCGAGGCCGTCAGCGTCGACACCCGCCGCCGCCTGTGGGCCATGGCCCAGCACCTCAACATCTGGACCTCGTTCGACCTGGGCCGCTCCAAGACGACCCTGTCAGGCGTCTCGACCCGCGCCATCACCCCGCGTGACGGCGACTACACCTCGCAGCTGCTAGCCCTCATGCCCCTGACAGAGGCCCTCGATCCCAACCAGACCCGCTCGGCCGACGACCTCGACGCCGACCTGGGCCGCCTCCTCGACGACTGTCAGGGCTTCGAGGTCCCGGCCGTCGTCATGGCCTACATCAACCTGGTCCTCTGCCTGTTTCGCCGCCTGCGCGCCCAGCACCCGGGTGCCATTCATAGCCACGTCGACAGCATCCTGGCCCTGTCCCGCCGCGCCCTGGCCGCCGCCCGCGTCATGGTCGACCAGCACCTGCCCTGGCACCACGCCGCCAACATCCCCTTCCAGATTGTCTGCCTCCTGCTCGCCGTCGACACCCGTGCCTCCATGGCCATGGTCGGCGAGGCCCTCGCCGTCCTCAAGCTCGTCAGGGACTCGTGGAACAGTGAGACCCTCCGCGAGGCTTACGACACCGCCTATCTCCTCACCCTCTTCCACCAGCGTCGCAAGGAGGAAGATGCTCGCGACCTTCGCATCGTACTAGACATGCACACATCTCCACGGGGCGTTGCCGGTGCCGGCGGCGCCTTCCAGCAGCAGCAGCTACTCTTGCAACAGCAGCAGCAACAGCTGCAACTGCAGCAGCAGCAGCAGCAGCAGCAGCAGCAGCAGCTTCAGCAACCTCAGGACCAGCAACAACCACCCGTCATGGGTGCCGCAGAGACCGTCTGGCTAGACGACCTGTTCGCGAGCATGCCTGGTCTGCGAGAGTTCGACCTAGAACAGTTCCTCACCCAGGAGGAGGCTTATCCCCAGGATATACCTTATCCTACAACTACACTATAGTGTACACGGGTAGAAGGAAACGAAAGAGGTTATTTTGGAAGGGAAAAAAAGGGGGGGGGAGGGCGACACTTCACTTTACTTGAGCTTGCACACTCATTTTCTAGCACGAATAAGGAGAAAGGCGTTTGGTGGTCGGAAGCGGAGCCTTGTTGACGTTGCTATACTCCATGTCGTATAAGTTCCATCTTTTATTTTGAACTAATAGATCTGCGATTCGTCTTTTGTTTATTCCTGTTACTCTAGGGCAAATACGACGGCCGAAGTTATCTCTCTCCGCCTCGTGGAGAGAACCTAGGGAGACCTCGAAGCCCAGCCTTGCAGAGCACCGAATTGTCGGCCAGCGTCAACACCAATCATTCCCATCAGGGTGTTGGCCACAAGGGCGAGGAAAAGAAGGAATATCCGACGGCTAAGTACCAGGTTCCAAACGTGAACTCAAGACTTCATAATGGCCGAGAAAAAAGACTAGTCAATATTTCAGCCGAGTCTCTTACACGCGATCAAGCTGACGGCGTGTCCCTTTCATGGAGCTATACGCAGACGATGTTAGAGAGATGATATATTCCGAGTTTTCGATTCTCATTATTCGCAAGTATCCGTATACCTGTAGCTCTGGGTGCCCAGATGTAATCACTCACCGCGTCTTTCGATATGACCCCGTGGTTCCTTCTCGGTAGGCAAACTGCGGTGCACTCGTTGTTCCGACCATTCCCATTGTCAGCTCTGTGGAGTCCGAGACATCGCTTGGACCGCTCTTGGCAGTCTCTCGGCCCCCTCTTGGCTCTTGGTATTATTGCCGATCGGTAAGCTGGGGAGGTGCGAAGCTGCCGAAGCATGTGGGGAGATCCCCCCCCCCCGCATTTAACTAATCACGAACTTCTTTTCCGGTTATTCTCCCCTTCTTCTTTCCTCTGTTCCCCCCCCCCCCCGCATTTAACTAATCACGAACTTCTTTTCCGGTTATTCTCCCCTTCTTCTTTCCTCTGTTCCCCCCCCCCCCCCCCTCTTCTCTTTCTTTGAACGAAATATTCGAATGTGAATCAGCTGGAATAATGGCACAGTCAATCGTTTTCAAGTCTAAGCACCCTGATATCCATGGTACGTCTTCCAGCAACTCTTCCATGGTGCCTCTCGGGATGTTAATATCTGCTGCTCTTATACATAAGTCCCCCAAAATGTGGTCCTGTGGTCATGGATCTTCTCCGCTCCTCATATGATGGGGAAGGATGATGATGGAAAGGGATTCACGGATGCCCTCACAGGCGAGCACATTACGTTTCGGGAGATGAAGACGTTGACTACGTACCTTTCTACGGCTCTCGTGCAAGATGTAGGTCTCCGTCAGGGTGACACCCTGGTTGTGTACTCCCCAAACACAATCATGTATCCTGCAGCCATGCTTTCGGCGTCTAGATCTGGCATCATCGCCTGCGGCGTCTCGCCAGACTACACTGTCGACGAGCTCGCTCACGCACTTACAGTCAGCAAGGCCAGCTGCCTCATTGCCACGGAGAACAACTGGCAGCGAGCGTGTGGTGCAGCCGATAAGGTTGGACTGGCACGAGACCGAATTCTCTGCTTCGACGAGGTAGACGGGGATCCGTCAAGGAGGAGCATCCGGAGCCTCATCCGGGCCACAAAGGAACGAGGTGACGCATCGTTAATCGCCCCGTTCCAGCTGCCGCCGGGAAAGACTACCAGCCAAGTGTGTGCCTACCTGGGCTTCAGCAGCGGGACGACTGGGCTGCCCAAGGGCGTCATGATCTCTCACGCCAACGTGATCGCACAGTGTCTGCAGGTTCTTCAACTGACCACGCCAGACCTAGACCAGATCCTCGCGGCGCTCCCTTTCTACCACATCACCGGCGTGATGCACCAGCTACACTTGCCAATGGTCCTCAACGCCAATGTGTATGTGCTTTCTGGCTTCACAATGGAGCGCATGCTACGGACAGTAGAGAAGTACAAGATCAAGGAGCTGTTGCTGGTCCCCCCGATTCTCATCCGGCTGGTCAGGGAGCGGGATCTGGTGAAGAAGTACGACCTGTCACACGTCCGGCGCTTTACGTCCGGCGCTGCGCCCCTTTCCAACGAGATCTTGGGCCTTTTGGAAAAGCAATTTCCCGGAACTGGCTTCAAGCAGGCGTACGGAATGACAGAGTCGTGCTCGTGCGTCACCCTCCACCCACCGTCCATGTATAGCTACCGGTACGCCTCCCGGGTTGGCGGCGTCGTTGCGTCGACGGAGGTGCGCATCGTCGATCCGGAGACGAACAGGGACTGCTCCGCCGGCCAGCCAGGTGAAATCTGGGCCCGCGGTCCCCAGATCACGATGGGCTACATCGGCAACCCCCAAGCCACGGCCGAGACCTTTGACGCCGACGGCTTCCTGCACACCGGCGACATCGGCTACTTTGACTCTGACGGCCTCCTCTCCGTCACCGACCGCATCAAGGAGATGATCAAGGTCAAGGGCATTGCCGTCGCCCCCGCAGAGATCGAGAACCTGCTTCTCGGCCACCCGGACGTCGTAGACTGCGCTGTCTGCGGTATACCCGACGAAAGAGCCGGTGAGAGGCCAAAGGCCTTTGTTGTTCTGCACCCCCGCCATAATCAGTCCCAGACGTCCGTCGCCCGCGACCTCATAGAGTACGTCAAGAGTAACAAGACGAGGCACAAGTGGATCAGCGAAGTCGAGGTCATCAACGAGATTCCAAAGAGCGCGGCTGGAAAAATTCTCAGAAAGAAATTTCGCCAGCCAGATAGGCAGGTTGGTTTAATTGTTCGCGAGGAAAAGACTTCTTCGTCTCGGCTCTAGAAATATAGAATACGGCACATTGTGGATGATACATCTCAGCATACTCTCACCGCATAGTTGCCAGTCACATCATTGAGATTGTACTCCCTGTTTGACCCTTTGCGGAGCCCATAGTCAAGACGCGTTTGCTCGATCTAAAGATGCATGGGTGGTGTATCAGTTGAAGAGACTATTGCAAATGTCGGGTTCGGCATTGAGTGAAAAGTTGGGCTAGTGGGGAATAGAAGCGAGAAATTGTTTATTTAATATATTTACGAAGAATGAATGGGTGTTCTCAAGAGCACAGAACAGATTTTCTCTCTCTCTCTCCCCCCCCCCCCCTTCTTTTTCTTTTCTTGACTCTCGACCTGAGAAGAGCCCTAAGCCCATGATACCCTAAACCCAGGGATATGTGACACCTGATACCTAATATTGTATGACCAAGTGGATAGGGGCTGTTACTACACTCACATATGTAAAAGCCTTATAGAGATAGATTTCCTTTCTTTTTAATAAATCAAGCATCCGAGACACACTCATCGACCTAGGACGGACCAGTAGGCAGAGATCACAGTATTCACGTCTACAGATCATCGTGTGTTGTCGCCAGCAGGAAGCACAGATATCGGTAGGAATCTTGTGTATGTCTTGGCAGCCCAAAACGCTTTTGAATCAGCATGGATTAGAGAACGGCCAGGACACGCAAGACACTGTTCAAGTATCGAATTTCCACTCGCTGATATAGCGTCATGCGTGGTTGGATCATTGCGTCTACACCGTATCGTCGTAATGCACGGCTTCTCAAGGACTAATTGAGGTATCTACAGGTACATGTATGTGATATGTATGGATCTGGTGAATCACGTCACGTATCTGTACATGATATATAATGTACGCAGGACGGAAATGAAAGTAATTGGACATTCTATGACTTCATGCATCAGTTTCACGCCAGCCCGCGTACTACATCTTCTCAGTTCTCCCATTTGGCCTCACAGTACTCCGTACATTGACTTTCATAAGGCCATACCATCTTTTCCATGCATACATTTCTCCTTGAGCCTCGGAGAGAGCGCCTCTGAGAGGAGCAGATTTTCTTTTTTGATTGAGACAGCACAGATGTTATAGAATGCGTTCTGCATCGTATTGCCGGGATCCAAGGTCTTAAGAGTAGAGCCGACGGCAACTGAAGAAAAAGAAAAGAGAATTATTATTACTAGTAGTAACCACTGCTTTTGTTGCTGCTCCTTGCTTTGTCCTTGCAAAAGCCATCTCGAACGCAAATAACACCGTGTTTCCTTTTTGCCCTTTTTTTTTTGTCTCCTCTCGTTAGAGGTCACTTGTGTCTATTCACCGTCAATTAATCTCAATACCCTCGTTCATTTCCCGTGATTGTTTGGCGTGCTTTTCCCTTCGTGATTCGTAGACATTGCTGTTGCTTTTTTCTCTTCTTTTGTTTTCTTTTTATTTTGTGTTGAAATTCGTTTCGACGCCTTGTTGGTTCCCTTTAGTATAAGGCGTCTCAGGCAAGAAGCGCCTCGTGACCCTGCTCTTTTAGGACATCCTGGACTGTCTGGAGAACCTTTTTGTGAAGCCCCTGGGGTGCGGCGACAAAGCCGTAGTTCTCAACCATCTTACGGCCCGCCACTAGATCAATAGGTTTCCCGAGGACATCCGTGATGTGACCACCCGTCTCCTCAAACAGCAGCATGGCGCCAGCGTGATCCCATATCTTCCCCAGCCGATCCCTGCGCTTGTAAACCCACACGATTGTGTTACCTAGGCCCGCGGCAACGGCAACCCACCGGACGACCCAGGGGAGCAAGTCACAGGTGGGGAAGGGAACGTCGATGCGTCGGGCCACAGCGTCGTGGATACCATCGAGGGCAGAATCAGTGAGCGTAGTGCAAGAGACGAATCGAGTGTCGGAGAGACCGAGACCGTCGGGTTGGATTTTGAGCGTTCGGGGCTCAGAGCTGCCATCAAGGGGCTGGACTCGGGCACCGTGGCCCTTGATTGCCGAGTAAATTGATCCCGAGGGTGAGACGTCCGAATTTCCTAGAGGAGCCTTGGCGTCGACTGACAGATTAGGGCAACCAACGACGCTCAGAGTTTGCTTGCCATCGACGAGCAAGGCAACATTGATGGCATAGAGACCACCCTCAACAAAAGTCTTTGTTCCGTCAATGGGATCAAAGACCCAGGTCCTGCCAGTAGCAGCCGGTTTAGTTGAACCGCACTCATCAATGATGTCGCATATATTCTCCCGGCCTTCAGGGATGCGGCAGTCCCCAGGAAATGCCTCACGGGCAGCCGTGGCCTCATCCGAGTCTCCGTGGCCAGCCGCCCATCGGAGAATGCTGTAAACACCCTCGAGAAGTAACAGGTCGGTGCGCATCTGCGAGGCATCCTCCTCACCCACGACGCGGTCGCCGGGGAACGCCGTCTTGATAGTGGATGCCAGAAACGCCTGGATGGCAAAGTCGGCCACAGTCACAGGGCTGAGGTCGTCCTTTTGGATCACACCCTTGTCCTTGTTGCCGATAACATGTTCACTCATGCGCGCCGCCACACGAACGGCCGCCATAGCAACGTCCAGCTCACGCTGGTAAGGGCTGGCCATGATGAGTGGCTGGCTGGGTGAAAAATCTGGAGGGGTTGGCGGTTTTAGAGGAGGGGCGGGGCGGATATGGGAGGTGAATGGTTGAAGAGTAGCACACCTGCAAAGAGAGCGCGAGAGAGACTGGTGGTAGATGAACTTGTACGTGACAGGGTGAGACTGAGAAGGCCTAAGATGGAGGGTCACACGCAGCTCAGATTGCGCTTGGAAGCATCTCGTGATTGGGGTGGTGGTGGGGTTCAGTCTCGGGAACGACCACCCTCTACTGGCTGAGCGGCCTCGGTATATGCATAATAGGGCAGTAAAGGTCCCTTACGGATCGGCGCCCCCCCTCGCCCCCCTCCTCCATGGAACTTGAAGGCGCAAGACAGAAACGGGCACGAAAATACGCGAAGCCGGTGCAGAGAAGTGCAGATCATCGATGAGGGGATCTTGCCTTCTTCGCATCTACGATGCAGTCGAAAGGCACAACAGGGTTGGCAACACCGACAAACGAAATTATTTTCTAGGCAAAGCGCACGAATGTAACACACCCGAGATTCGACTGACATCCTATTGAACACGCTTACCGACCGATACCTGGGCTAACAAAAATGGATTCATGTAGGTCAGGCAATACGCAAACAACCAAATACAACTAGTAGCTACTGGAAGTAATGAATATCTAGAACAATGATGCCGCAGATTTCCAATAAACGCCGTTTAATGCTGTTGACATCAAGGCGGGGCAGTGCGAGGCGTTCCTGAGGGGTTCTGGCAGCAGAAACTCAAATAACAATGCCTCTCTGCTGCCACCCGCCTCGACCCTTCCACGCCCAGACTAGCAGCACGCATGCCAGTAAAACTGTGAGTCCTTCAGCCCAGAATGTCGAAGCGTAGCACTGTTTCCCGTAGCAAAACAATTCGTCGTCTTGGTCCGGCGATGTGTTCACCGACCTTGCCCCTTGCTGGTATACAGCTGAGAAAACAGAGCCCCAGAAGACGGAGCCTAAGGCGGGCACCGTGGCAATGATGCCGAAGTTGGTGGCAAAGTTCTCGACACCCCAGATGATTGTGACGATCAGTGGCGTCAAACTGAAGATAGCGCCATAACCAGCACCGACAAGTGCAGACACGACCCAGAAGCGATCGGCATGGTTCTGGGCGGCGCCGGAAGCGAGAAAGAGGAGCCCGATTGCCATCAGAATGGCGAAAAAGAGCATGAATACGACACGAGAGATAGAGATGCGTCGCAGCGGAGAGGAATGTTGGGCTGGCCCGAGTTGGGCATGCTGGGTAGAGGGCGACGGGGCAAATATGTCGGTGAGAGTGCCAATGACGAGGCGCGAGATCGTGCTGGTAACGCCAAATACCGACACATGAGTAGCCGCAGATGTCCCACTGAAAATAACTTGCTCCTCCGGCGGACTCAGGGTACCAATGACAGTACCTAGATTGTTGATGAAGGCCTCACCAGGACCGACCATAAGAAGAAAAGACATGGCAAAGGGCCACATGGTGTGATCCGAAAGGAAGCGACGAGTCTCGGCATTGAGGACCCAGTTTTTCCTCCATTTGGCATCATCGTCCTTGGGGGTGTCGAAAGAGCCGTCCTCGTCGTGCGTCGACGCAGCTTGCTCGACAGCCCCATAGCTTCGCTCGGACTGGCCGAGGAGGGAGGAGCCATCAAGCAGTCCGCTGTTTTCCATCTCCTCAATGGCCTCATCGATGAGCTCTTTCTCGTCCACAACACGGAGAGTGAGAGAGCCCAGTATTCCCATGAGTAAAAGGAGTACGGCAAGGAAGATGAAGAAGCGGAAGACATCAACGTCGCCCTTAGACCCGTCATTCCGCGTCTCATAGAAGATGATACTACCAACCTGGCTGAGCCACATGCCGCTGAGGCCGAAACATGTGATGGGCATAGCCAGAGCAAGACCGCGATATTTTCCCTTGCCAAAGTTCTTGGCCACTGTAGATACGCTAGACATGTAGCCAGCACAGGTACCCATACCGATGAAGACAAATGCGAGGATCATGAGAGGGTATGTTTTGTCAGCCTCGTCGTGCGGCTTCTTGCCCAGGGACCGGTATCGGAGGTCAACATCGCGGTAGACAGCGGCGGCCAGTCCATACCCAAGTCCCAGGATAGTTCCGGAGCCAAGTGCCAGTGGCGGTGCCCCGTACCGGTCGCAGAGAAAACCCACGATCGAAATGGGCAAGTAGAGGGCGACGGAGCAGGCAATGGCGGCGCCGTTGACTTGGAGCTGCGTGTAGTGTAGTCGCGACTGGAACAGCGGGGCGTACATAGAGAAGAGTACATTAGACCCGGCACACAGGGAGAATGCATTAGCCACGACAAAGGCGACCAGTCTCACGACCTGCTTCTTCTGACGGTCCCGATGCCGGCGCTGATAGTACGATGCATCCGATGGATCATCGCCGTCGAGTCTGGCACTCAACGTCGACTCCCGATCGCTGATACTTTCAATGGGCTCAGGGCTGAGCGATCTCAAGCCTTCTGTGGCCAGAGGGTCGTTGGGGACGGACATGGCCGTCTCGCGTGTGTGTGTCTGATGTATCGGCCGTAGAGTTGGGGGGCACGGCTGCTGTAGTGTAGCATCAATGATGGGCGCTTCGATGTATCGGTAGCATGGAAACGAGGGTTCAAAAGGAAGCTGTGAATAGAGCCCCGAAATAAAACAAAATAGAAACAAAGGGGCCGCGATGCAGAAAAGAAGGAAAGGAACAAACAGGCTATTGTGTGAGGATAAGTTATGGTTGGGAGCACGCCATGGGGAGAAGCAGTGACGATGCCCGATAAAGAGCTGGACCCGGTTACGGCGGCTGACTTGACAGATGGAGCTTGCTTCGTCAGTGCCACGCATGAGTGGGGTGCTAAGCACGAGGTACGGGGTACCAGCTTCAACCTGGAAAGTCTCGCGGGGTTTGAAGTACAGCTACAGGTATGTGACTGATAAACTGCTTATGCATCAGTTCTGACACGTGATCTTGAAACATAGCCGCTATAGCACAGTGGTAGTGCGCATCACTAGTAATGATGAGGTCCCAGGTTCGAGTCCTGGTGGTGGCATTCACGTAGACTCCGACTACCTTCATGGAGCCGCTATAGCACAGTGGTAGTGCGCATCACTAGTAGTAATGCTAGGATATGATGAGGTCCCAGGTTCGAGTCCTGGTGGTGGCAGATGAGCAGCTTCCGCTTCCCCATGTGGAACAACGTGATTTTTTTTTTTAACCTGAGAGCTTCTTCCTTGCATCCTTCCTTTTTCTTTCTTCTTTCGCCTAATCTATCGAAACCCGGTAGCTTGATTACGGCGGGCTCCTAGGCTACCGTGATGGACGAACTACTTGCCAGCCCGAGGAGGGCTAGGGAGGCTATCGATGCGCTCATAAGCCGTCTCTCGCCATGGGAGCTCATTTACCTACGAGATCGGGTTCGCCGTCTCGAAATTGATACCCGAGAGTTTGCTACCTGTGTCCACCTACCGGCCGAAGTCGTATGCCGCATTGCTTTATTCCTTAGTCACAAAGACATCATTCGCTGCCGACTCGTCTCTAGAGGATGGAGAGATATTTGGATGCAAGATGCTGTCCTTAGTGAAGTCTGCCGCTTACGCTTCCCCGGCCGTCTGCAAACTCATCCGGCCAAAGAGAGCATGGAAAGGTTTTACCTCGACACACTCCATCTCTACAGACTGGCGGATACGGCCAAGTGCACTACAGCTTTCATCCCGTGGGATATTGTTAGCCCCCCCAGTCGATCACCTGCCGATGGCAACACTATATTCAATTTGTCTACATCGCTCGTTGGGACATATGCTGGGTACACAGCAAATCCGCCCCAGCCGCTTTGTAATGATGGGAAGCTCTTTTGGCAACCACGGACTGGGCGTGTTGCCGTGGACGACGTACGGGCCGGGACACGCATCCAATTCGCAACAAACGCAGATCCTCGACAAGGAAATATAGGCGAGATGCTTGTTGCAGCAACGGACTCTATTGTGGTCATCGCCTCCCCTGTACCTTCACTGTCAGCAGGAGCTGGTAGAGTTCGTATTCTGTAAGACCCCTACTCTTACGTTGTTTATTCGTTCGCGTTATTTCCTCATCGTCGGATGGCATGGCTTACCCGAGCTCCAGTCGTATTTACCACATGGAGCACCGAGAATGGAAAAGAATTACTCTACCAGCAGGACTCTCAAAATGCTACGCCAACTCCGAAATGCTCATTGCCACTTGCCATGGAGGTCAAGCCATCATCTGGGAGTGGAACGGGGTCGCCACGGAGTTGGCCATGGAGCACGAACCCCCAACGCATCATCCGCACAGCGCGTATCTACTCTTCGGCGGTATTCCTGGAGCCGTATTTCATCCCTCAGAGCCCGGCTTAATCTTCCTTGTCTGGGTCTATGGATACGAGCTGGCGTTTGTTCCAGATGAGCATGGGGCCAAGTCTTGGTCGCCAGAAGACGTCTCCCCCGCCTGCACATTCGTCATTTCTCGATATGAAAAGGACCAAGAAGGACACTGGACTCCCACTGCGCGCTTCGAGCATTCTTCAAAAATCCCCTACGTTCAGGAACGCCATGTCGGCACACCAAAAAGTGTCTCTGATGTGGAGATTTCTCTAGACTGTCAAAAGGTAGACTCGAATGGGTCATTTAGCCTTTGCTTCATACGAAGTCGGTCGCATTACGACTGGCCCGCTCCGCACCGCAGTCTACACGCAGTCGTGATCCAATGCTTCAATGTTTTTACAATGGGTTTTTTCGATGCGTCATATTGGAAACCCCCAGGAGAGGTCGAAGGTATCGAATCCGCAGTTAGCAACAATGAGTCGGGGACATGGTGCGACAGCAGACCTCAGGCAACTCGACTCTGGAATATGCAGATTTTCGAGGTGCACAAAACCTTCTCCGTCTCCGACGCAAGCTTTGACTTTATATTCGAAGACGACGACGACATCCCGCGACAAAGGGTCTCTTGCTTCAAGCCAGGGACGGACAGTGATGAAGGATGCCAGGAGGGTGATGCGCGCCACTTTGATTGCGAAGATCCCAAGACGACTTCTGGGAATATTTCCGTCTTTGTTCACGACCACTTGATGGTATTTTCAACTGACAGCGGGTACCATATCGCTATGCCTACAGATCCCAACGGGGATGACCACTTGTGGCTGTCACCAACACGTCTCTCGACGCGCTTCAAGGATGACGCCCCGAGGCAATCACCGGTTTCACCCCCCAAGAAAATGGACATTTGCCATTGCTTTGCTAGGCCTCACCTAGCGGATTTAGAGCGTTTCAGGCCCGGAATACCAGAATAGAATCCCTGCCATGAATGGTTCCTTTTGAAGTTCCCCTGTAAATATGTTTGCCTTTCAGCCAGATTAATTGTTCCAATGAGACGCCAAGGCTCCCCTCTGCAAGTTGACAGCTCTCTACAAGACATAACTGTCGGAGGTAACGAGCTAATCTTCGACACTTACAAACCCGCCGACCAGGCATTCTTCCAGACATGTCCCTATTGCTGTTCTGCTCTATTTGCCCACCAATCCTTGATTCCAGCAACGTCACACCAATGCATATCCCAAGGGTCCTCGAACCACCATTCAAGTCCACCAGTCCTGCTGGCATCACTGGCATACTTTTTGAGACTTCCGCCGTCAAAACGGTGATTCTTGACGCCAACGAGAAGCACCGCGCTGCCAATCTTGGGAGTGAAATCCTCTGGGTGAAGAAAGACAGTGAGGTGGACCTGCTTAGTCGTCGAGGGGTCGACAAGTCGAGCTGTGCGTTGGCGATGAGGAGCCAGATGGGATGCCTCGACGGGGGATAGTGAAGATACGATGGCGAGAACGTTGCAGGTCCAGTTCTGAGCGAATGGGAGTTTTGGAATGGAGCGCAGCGTCGTCAGCTTGAGCGGGTCTTGGCGGTTGTGCCAGTCACGCGGGAGGGCAATAGGGAGTAATGGAGTCGGCTTTGATACAGCATTCTTGCTATTCTTTGGTGGTCTGAATGGCAACTTGTGCGTATCGAATGCTTCAAACGCATCCTCAGAGGCGTCTTCCTCGTCATCCTTGTCTTTGAGTAACGGCTCTCGACGACTCATAGTCGCTGGTTGAGCTCGGTTATCATCTTTGATATCATCGTTGGTGTCATCTTTTGGGTCTACAGCAACTGCGGTAGACAAGTAACTAGTAGTTCTTGCAGCCCCTTGGGAGATGCTGATGGCTTGTCCCCCCAACAGGGCATGGTAAGCCTCGTTCCATCCGACCATCACCATCTCATCAATGACCAAGTAGACCATTTTCCGGCGACGGCCTTGGTGTTCCTCCATACTCTTCGACGCTATGTCAAACTTGTCCAAGCGGACACAACATCCCATAGATATCTCTCCCGTCTCCGTGAGGCGGTGGAGGGGCCCACTGAGCAGCGCCTGGATGCACAATTCCCCATCACTAAGAAGAAGTTGCACCATCTGCCATCTCCCAGAGGCGGTAACTGGCACGAGCTTTACGTTTTCAACCAAAAAGGTAGAACCTGCGATGCAATGCTGGGCGCGTATTATGTCGTGAATGCACGGTACAATAACGACAGAATCGTAGCCAGGGGCTGGCCTCACCTCAGTGGTGGCCGCATGCATGTTTTCATCCGACATGGAGTACAGACATGACCGAAAATAGCATATTAGCGGTTTGGCTTCTGGAGATGAAATGCACGCGTACAAGTAAAGCGTGGATGCAAGTGGTGGTCTACTGGCACACTGGTCGGCAAATAAAGTGGTGCACGTGATCACGCAACTCGTCACGCGTCAATCCTCGCGCGTCAGCTCCTCAAGGAGGATCCCCCGCGATGTGCGAATGTTTGCAGATTTACTATTGGGTGGAGAGGCTGTCCAGCTTTGTTGCTAGGACCTTGTGATTTGCCCGAAGATCGAGGCAGGAAAGCATAATGACCGAAATGACGGGTAAGACTAGATTCCATATATTCTTTTTTTCTCCGCTGGCTGTTGACCTGTCGCAGAGGCGGACACGATCCGCATCTTGATCGCGACGGATAACCATGTGGGCTACGAAGAGAGAGACCCCATCCGTAAGGACGATAGTTGGCAGACGTTTGACGAAGTCATGAATATTGCCCGCACACAAGATGTATGTGACGCCTGGCCAACAATCATGCGGTCATCTTGATTGCTAACTTTGGCTGGGCAGGTCGACATGGTGCTCCTTGGTGGCGACCTTTTTCACGACAACAAGCCTTCACGCAAGTCGTTGTATCAAGTTATGCGGACGCTCCGAAAGAATTGCCTTGGCATGAAGCCTTGCTCCCTCGAATTTTTGTCCGATGCCGCATCCGTTTTCGAAGGTGCCTTTACCCACGTCAACTACGAGGACCCAGACATCAATGTCGCCATCCCTGTTTTCTCCATTCATGGAAATCACGACGATCCATCGGGCGATGGAAACTTTTGTTCCCTGGATTTGCTTCAGGCCAGCGGGCTGCTCAACTACTTTGGCCGGATTGCCGAAGCTGATAACATCCAAGCCAAGCCGATACTCCTACAAAAGGGCGTTACCAAGCTAGCCCTGTTCGGTCTGAGCAACGTCCGGGACGAGCGCATGTTTCGCACATTTCGCGACCACAAGGTCAAATGGTTTCGACCAGGATCGCAGACAGGCGAATGGTTTAACCTCTTGACAGTGCACCAGAACCACCATGCGCATACGGCGACATCATACCTCCCCGAGAATGTGCTGCCGGATTGGATGGATTTGGTGGTATGGGGTCACGAGCACGAGTGCCTGATCGATCCCACACGGAACCCAGAAACAGGGTTTCACGTCATACAGCCCGGTTCGTCGGTAGCTACCTCACTAATACCCGGCGAGGCTGTCCGCAAGCATGTCGCCATAGCAAGCATAACGGGCAAGGACTTCAAGATTGAAAAGATTCCTCTTAGAAGTGTGCGCCCATTCGTCGCACGAGAGCTGGTCCTGGCACAAGAAAAGCGATTCAAGGGCTTGGAAAAAAAGAAGGATAACCGGCAGGAAGTCACACGGCGGTTAATGGAAGTTGTCGACGAGATGATTGAAGAGGCAAATGCCGACTGGGAGGCGATCCAGACGGATGAGGAGGCGCTCGAGGATCGCCCGCTGCCGCTCATTCGCCTGAAAGTCGAGTATACAGCACCAGAGGGTGGCCAGTTTGAGTGTGAAAATCCGCAACGATTTTCCAACAGATTCGTCGGCAAGGTGGCCAACATCAACGATGTTGTGTACTTTTACCGCAAGAAAACGGCACAGCGTGGGTCTCGCCAATACATCTATCGCACATTTACGAGAGCTGACAAGAAAGAGCACCCGGACAGGCAGAAAAGACGCAGTAAACCCTACAGAGGTGCTGAATATTGCCGAAGGGGACATAGTCAAGGTCGAATCGATCGTATCGGATTTCTTGTCGGCTCAATCACTCAAGGTACTTCCGCAGGGGCCATTTGGTGACGCTGTCAATCAGTTCGTGTCCAAGGATGACAAACATGCCATGGAGCTTTTTGTATCGGAACATCTCACCGGCCAGGTCCAGCAGCTTCTGAATCTTGAGTCAGACGATGAAGACCTCAACAGTGCAATGGACCTTTACAGGACAAGGATTGAGCAGCAGATGGCAAGTGGAGCGGGCTCTAGAAGCATGCCAGAACGAAAACGGATTCTTAAACCTAAGCCCTCAACTTGGGATAGCGACTTTGACGGCAACTGGGAAGATGAGCCTGACGCATGGACATATGAGGACATAGCTGCACCCAGCTTTGCACCTTCAACAGGGAGAGCCTCTCGCACAGCCAGGCAGAGCAAGGACGTGAACGAGGACGAGGACGAGGACCCGCTTCCGAAGACCACTAAGCGTACCAGCACACGCACAGAAGCAGCAGCCAAGGGCGCTCCGGTAAAGAAGGCTGCAACCGCCAAGAAGACTTCTGCATCCACACGTGGTGGTAGCCGCTCCTGCAAGGCTAAGGAGCCCAGCGAGGTTGAGGAAGAAGACATTGTCATGGCGTCCGACGACGAGCCACCTGCGCCGGTAAAGAAGACGACAGCCAGGCAGCCGGCTACGAGGGCAGCGCCAGCAAGAGCTATGAGGACGAGGCAAACGACTCTTGACTTCAGTGAGTCCCAGCAGACGGGACGACGCGGAGCCGCATCGCAAAAGGCTGCTGAACTAAGTGATGATGAGATTTCGGATGAAGACGATGCATTCGATCCGCCGCCTTCCACTGTCACTCGTCGGTCAACGAGGCGGTAGCAGTGATGCTATGCGAAATACGTAATCCGGCGAACATGGTTGGGAACGTCTTCATGTTATTTCTCCAAAGTGCATGCGCATTGCATCCGTCAGCACCACCTTAAAAGGCGATGTCTTCTTCATGTATGGCACTGGTACTATAGCAAAATGAAGCAGAGCCGTATCCGATAGCAACCCCAAAAAAAACCATGTAACGAGTTATCACAACGGAAGGCAAAGATGGAAGAGTTCGCGATTGTCAAGAGTGCCATCAAGAAACTGAAAAAAAAAAAAGGAAACCGATTAATCGGTTGGCGGATCTCTCCCGCCGGGAATTGAACCCGGGTCTCGAGCGTGACAAGCTCGCATACTGACCACTATACTACGGAAGATGTTTTTGACTGTTTTCAGACAACGTAGTGGAGGCGCTTATGATGACGTTGATTTTATTTTATGATATATACGTTAGCTCCCGCAACTTGAAGCCTAATCTATCGAGTACGGAATACTCGGTTTGGCTGCCGGGGAGCGGCTGGTTTTCCCCACCCACACGCATCGGTAAACCCCTGTTATTGGGAGAGTAACGTATTGGTTAAGCTTATCAAGCGGGCGCTCGTAGTTTCCCTGCTGGTTGTTTATCTCATGCTTCCTTCGTTCAGGCTTTGCCTGGTACATCGAAAGAGTCCGGTATGCACGTATGTATCTATGGCTGCCAGAGATAAGCCTACTCTCAAGACGACAATCACGAATGGGCTTGGAAGATAAGTTTCATATGCTACGTACGTCTCGATAAATAGAAGCCAATATCTCTTTTACTAGTCATGACAAGTACATGTTTCCAATTCATTCTAACGGGATCAAAGCCCTTTATCTGATCTTCCCTTCGGCTTTTCCTTCTCAGCACACCTACCTGTGTGCTCGCTTTCTCGCCCGTCATGGACATAAAAAAGATTGACAGCGTGGCTGAAGCTCCACCGTCCATCGTCGCCCACCAGCTGGACGGCGACTCTGCCACGGATATCGACTCGGTCATCACCGAAGCGGAGAAGCGTCTCGTCCGGAAACTTGACATGCATCTTGTACCTCTAGTTATGGTCCTATACTTGCTGAGCTTTCTGGACCGGTAGGTTTCATTGACTATTACTATTACTGGCTGCATATGCATTTTACTTACAAAATGAGTCAGAGTCAACATCGGCAATGCGCGCTTATATGGGCTGGAGGAGGACCTGGGACTCACACCTGAGCAGGCCCAAGTCAGCGTGTCCATCCTTTTTGTCACCTATCTCATTTGCGAAATTCCTTCCAACCTCGTGCTGAAGCGTCTAACTCCACGACAATGGATCGCTTTTATCACAGTGTCGTGGGGATTGGTCGCCACGTTTATGGGGCTGGTAGATTCATATGGATCTCTCATAGCATGCCGCCTGCTTCTCGGAGCGGTGGAAGCAGGCCTCTTCCCCGGACTGACAGTTTACCTGACCTTCTTCTACAACAAGCGGGAAATTGCATTGCGAGTTGGCTACCTATTTGTCAGCGCCGCAATTGCAGGAGCTCTAGGCGGACTGCTGGGCTACGGCATCGGCCACATGGATGGCGTGGCATCTATGAGGGGTTGGCGCTGGATCATGATCATTGAAGGCATCCCGAGTGTCCTCATGGGAGTGGCCACCTACTTTCTACTCCCGAATGATATTGAAACCGCGTATTTTCTGACCGAGGAGGAAAAAATACTGGCTGTATCGAGGCAACAGCGCGAGTACGGTAACACAGCATCTAGTCGGGAGTTGAACAAGCCGGATGTCATGGCAGCATTCAAAGACTGGAAAGTCTGGGCGTTTTGTGTTGGGCAGTTTGGAGTGGATACCATGCTCTACGGTAGGTTGCCCTCCAGCAATGATCAAGGATGGAATTGTGTGCGACTATGGCTTTGAGGAGACTGACACTGGAAATTGTTAGGCTATTCACTTTTTCTTCCCACAATCATCAAAAGTCTTGGATCGTGGACGCCGGCACAGGTTCAGCTCATGACAATACCCTGCTACTTCCTTGGCGCTACGTCGTATATGGCGGCGGCCTACATCTCTGACCGCATACAAAGAAGAGGCGTGTTCTGTGTCATCTTCGGCGCTATCAGTGTGATTGGATATGGAATCCTTCTCGCTGATACGTCCTCGGGCGCCCATTATTTCGGGTGCTTCCTCGTGGCCGGAGGGCTCTATGTGGTTGTTGGCCTACCACTCGCTTGGGTAAGAAACAAATCACAAGCTTTTGACCTACGATGTTCCGCAATTGACAGTCACAAATGTAGCTTCCCACAAACTCTCCGAGGTATGGAAAGAGAACCACGGGAACTGCTATGCAATTGACATGGGGAAATGCTGCCGGCGTCATGTCCGCCTTCATCTAGTGAGTTTTGCACATTCTCTTTGCCTATCCGACTATCTGTAGCTGACACCGGTACCAGCTCTGCCGAAGATTCGCCCCGATACATCAAAGGCCATGCCATCTCGCTTAGTATGGTCGGTGTAGGTACGGTTGTGTATGCCTTCATGTGGTATTGGTACTGGCAGGAGAACAGAAAACGCGACGCTGGTAAGATTCAGGAAAAGCACAGGGGCATGAGCGATGAGGACCTAGTCGAGTTGGGAGACGAGAGCCCACACTACCGATACACCATTTAATCGATGACCCGTGGTTATTTTTTTAGAATACTTGCAGAGCCGATGTGTGCGTTTGGACATAATCATGACCAGCAAGAAAAGGTTGGTATACATGGACAAGAAGCTGCACAGAGGCCATCTGTATACGTGGCAGCTAGTTACATGTCAATTCTCCAGCGGGCTATGCAATTTACCTTGTCCATTAGCTATTCGATACCATTTGAGATATCTGTTGTTTTGTATTTGTGCTCCTGCTCCTCGGCAATCTCTACTCTCTTATGTCCGAGTATTCATGTCCAATTCCTTCAAGTCCTACTATCCAAGTCCATTTCCTTCCTTCATAGGTCCTGCTCACTCTTCCATGGCTGGAGAAATAATGCAGCAGCTGCGGCAAAGACTACCATGAGCCCTAGCCTTGCGAAGAATTCGGTTCTGGAAGCCGTCAGAGCCGCCTTACTATCAGCGCTCATCCCTTTCAGTTGCGCGGGTTTCTACTGACCATCAGCTATAGATTCTTTACAAGGACAAGACTGCGGCAAGCTGTTCCTTGATCATGGGGGAAGAGATTCATCCACTCACCTCTAGCTCGCCAACTGTGAATTCCGGAAGCATTGCACGGGCCTCGTCGCTGTGGCCGATGTCCTCAAATGCTTCAGTCGCATCTTTCCCAGCCACGTCGAAAAATATTTCAGAACCACCACTGCGCTCACCAGAGTTAGTAGTCTGATAGGTTTCATTTTTTTGACGGAGTAAACTAGAGGCACGTACGGGTGCTGGCTGGCAAACTTGCTCACATCGTAGACGTGGCTATGGATGGCAATGTATATATCACCGTCCGTATTATGTGCCGAGACGTCTTCGGGGCTGAATTTCTTGAACTCCATCGCCAGAAGACTCGAATGAAGGAAGTAATACGATGATTTCAAGATCTCGCTGAACGTTTCCGTGTTTCAAATGCACACGCGGTGATAAACCCGGTCTGTATTACTTGTCTGATCCAAAATGGCAACGAGTCCAAAGCTCGGGGCCCAACAGCTTCTCAAAAGCTATATTTTGATGATTATGTACGGAGTACAGCTTCAATTGAAATGTTTCTGTCCACCTATGATGCTACATGCATTTGACAATTCTGCACGGTGATTCGGTAAAGTAATGCATTCTGCGCATTGATCGCTTATCTCGTGCATGTTACAGAACAACCTCTCCGACGTTATCGTTGAGCATTCGGGAAATTCCACTTGAAAATCGGGAAATCCATCTAGGATCGGGTTGGACCCCGCAGCTACTTTAGCTTCCTTTTTGTCCTCAATAGATAATAGCTCTTACGGACTTTGTGGAATTCGCCGTGAGTTGACATATTAATACTAGGCACTAGTAGCTCATAGTGATAGAGGGGAGATGCACTCCCGTGGTTTAATGTATGCTCGATAATACCTATCAGATGTCTTCTGTCTAATTCCCCGTGACCATAACCAGGTTCCAGATCAGGAAGCCAGATCAACAGTTACGTATTGTCCAGGTGCTTGAGATTCCTAAAAATCTGCCACGGGCTCAAGCCCTCTTATTTGGTACAGGCATCATATGTAGATTTGAACTTGGCTAACAGTGGAACCCATGATCCAATGGGATCACTCATCATCCTCTGGTCCGCGTCAAGTGTTTAGTAATTAAGAGGGCATTGGTCTCATATTAAATCAAGATATGGGTCAAAGGGTTGGCAGTACCCCTTTGGTATAAGTAAAAAGGTAAAAGTATGTACAGTGTGTGGCAACAAGTTTGAACCTGAGGGCAGGTACATTGCAATAAAACACTTCGGCTATGGAAAGAGATTGACTGTAAATCCCTCCATCTATGTGCTCGTGCTTCTCAGTTGGGGATAATATTCCTCTTCTTGATTCCGACCCAGCACTCGTCCGGCTTCTTGGAAAAACCTTCATGAGAGTCAAGAGTTTTCTGGTAGAGTTTGAACTCGTAACGATGGAAGGCTGTGCCAATGATGAGTGCCAGTTCCATGTGGGCAACATTCTGCCCGACGCATGCCCTCGGTCCGTAGGAGAATGGGTTGAAGCAGATCTTCTGGCGGGGCGTCAGGTTCAGCCATCGGTCAGGCTTGAACTCTTCGACGTCGGGCCCCCAGACTTCGGCATCATGGTGGATGGAGTAGCTAGGCACCGAGAGAACAGTGCCTCTCGGGAAGTGGTGCTCGCCGTACGACACGCCGTTCTCGGACGTGACGATACGGGGCAATCCGATAGCCGAGGTTGAATGCATACGCATGCCCTCGTCGATGCATTGCCGTAGGAAGCGGAGGTTTTTGACTTGACTGTGCGCCGCAATGGGGGAACCGGCCGGGATGGCGGCGTCTAGTTCGGCCTGGAGTCGAGGAACGATCTTGCCGGGGTTTCGTCGCTCACCGTCGAGGATCCAGTAGATGACAGCGCAGGAAGTGTTGGAGACGGTGTCGCTACCGGCGATGAGCTGCGTCAGTGCCTCCGACACCAGCTCCTCTCTGGATATCGGTTGCCCCTTGGCATCCTTGGCATTTACAAGCATCTCCAGAATATCATGACGTTTTCCCCCATCGAAAGTCCCGTCCTGTGCCGCTGCAAGGCGCTTCGAGACGGCCTCTACGGCGATGCCGTGGAGATTCTTGACCGATTTCAGCCCATTGGTGAAGAAGGGGTCAGGAAGGTACTTCGCAAAAGGTCGCAGCTCGGGAAGTAATCCGAGCGTCGAGCTAACCTCACCGCGACGGTTGAGTGTCTCCGCGCCGGGAACGTATGTGGTCGGCTGACCCGGAAGTGTCGACTCGCATTCGTCTCGTCCACTGTTGACCATCCCGAAGGGGGCGCCAAAAGCAAGGTCGCCGATGATGTCAAAGGCCAGGAAGGTACACCATGGCATCATGTTCATCGTTCCAAACCCATTGGCAGCTGGACGAGACGCGATATTGTCCAGCTGAGCGACCCATCGGTTGAGGTTGGCGCTCATATGTGGTTCAAAGTCGTGTACCGCGGTCGGAGAGAATGCGTGGGCAATGATCTTGCGCTTTGCGGTGTGTTGCTGGCGGTCCCGCACGTTAAACACGCCGGGCACTCCCGAGACAAAGGCTTCATAAAAGAAGCTTCAAGAACGAGAAACGCAATGAGTCAGTCTCCTTCAACAAGGTCCGCTATTTTGTTCGGTAAAAGAGAATGATCCGAAAACTCACTCCTTCAAAAAGCCGTTTCCATGCGCATACACGGTATGAAGGCCTTCGGGTGTGGCGATCGAGATATGGTTGAAACCCACGCGGACAACATTTCCGTATCGTCGATGGGCCCAGTCAACCCACGCATATTTCTTGCCGTTTCGTGCACCGAGAGCGAGCCAGATGTTGCTGAACTTGGCTACAAAAGGTCCCGGAAATTCCTGAAGGTGCTTATAGGTGGTGAAGTAGGGAATGACCCAATAGGAAATAGCCCATGCTGGCAGCAGGATGCTGAACAAGACGAGGTACTGCAAGAGGTCCATGGCGCATGAATGATGGCTGATGATTGTTCACTGAAAGAGAGGGAGGACGGTGGCTACAACACTTGCTCATGCTGTGAGGAATTCTTGTATCCAGGTTACTTCGTGGTGTCTATATAAATCCCGGATGGCCGATATATTCGTAGATACACTCTGCAGTCGGGGAATTGATAGAGGGGGCCCATAAACATCCCGACTATCCCTGTATAGTTGCAGTAAATCCCGAATCGTGGTTTGCGCCATGACACTCAACCTCTGCCAAGCAGGAAATAATATACCGAGAGAGGACATGGTTACCTGTGTGTTTCATGTAGCAAGAGTTGCACATAGACAGGAATAGTTAGCCAACCAATGAGGAAAGGGTCCGGTATCATCGAGCTGGACTAGGTCAGACAGAGCGTGCAGTTCGGTGGTGAGCCCGCCAATCCCCCACTCTTGAAGCAGGATGTAGCCGGCTATCTGTGGTGTTATCATGGCTGCCGCCGTTTACCGAATGCATGCACGCCCCTGTGACGATAGCCGCACACGATCATCGAGGCCACGAAGAATGATGGATAGCGACCAGTCATTGGAAGATAAGACTACCTGTTGGTATTACAGCCTCATCGCCCCCGCTCGTCAAAGACACAAGCCGGCAAAAGCCACGAGACTGTTCGGGAAAGTATTTATATACCCCCGCCATTCCAACTCCCAGATAGATACCCATCCTAGTCACCGGTCGGGAAAACCTGTAGAGCATACGTATTGCTTACTGTTTGGATCATGATTGGACGGCCCCGGAAAGCTTGCCTCCAGTGCAGTTCGCAAAAGGTTCGGTATTACTCCACGGGTGGTTGGTCTGCTACGGAGGCTTCCCCATCTTGACATCTGATATCCCAGTACTAACCCGGGAGTGTGTAGCTTCGCTGCCAGGGTCAGAAGCCATTCTGCGACCGCTGCAAGCGCATCGGTCGTCCATGCCGATGGGGCGATGAGGCTCTAGGGGCGGCGAGGTCCGAGAGGCATGCATCTGCTGTGCAGCTGCCTTCTCTATCCTCATTTTCCTCGTCGGCTTCGTCGTGGAAGGGTCCGGCCCCCGGCCCACAGCCGCTCCAGAGTCCTCCCATCCCTGTCGAGTCGGAACCAGTCAATTGGGCAAACGGAAGCGCCAGCAATTACACTGGAATCCCATTGACTGTCGTGTTGCGTCTCGTGGATATCTACTTCTCCTGTCTATATAGCGCGCCGCTGATCTTCCACAAGAAAACTTTGTTAGATGATTTGAAAGCTGGGAAGGTCAAGTCTCATGTAATCCTGAGTACTTGCGCTCTCGCATCTAGGTTAGTGAAGCACCTGTTCACATTTTCTGCGGAAAGATCAGTGAGTTAATGTGCCTATCATGTATCACAGTCTGTCTAGCAGTTATGAAGAGCGTAATGATCTCCGAGACGATGGCTTCAGCAAAGAATGGGCGGAGCGAGCGGGCAGATTAGCCCTCCAGGAAGCCGAAGAGCCAAACCAGGACATGGTCGTGTCTTTTACCAATTTAGGGCTGTTTTGGTATAGTCAGGGTCAGTGGCGGCGCTCTCTCGTCTATGAGGGCTACGCTTCTATGAATGCCCGTCTCTTGCTCCTGAGGCCGACCGAAACTGCTGCCGAGTTCTCACCCAAGGCTGAGCTTCACCGCCGACAGTTCTGGGCATCTTTCCTGCTGAATCAGTTCATTTCTGAGCCGGTCTTTCCCAAGATCATGAGGAACAGTGTCGCCGATATACTTCTTCCTGTGTCCGAGGACGACTATAGTAACGGTCTTATACCGGTACATGACATGACTTTGAGGAAGAACGAAAGAAATGATAGCATATTCGCCGAGCTCATACGCATCTTGAGCCTGTGGTAAGCCCCCCCGTTATCAACCCCCGCATTTCACATCTCTACTAATATCGAAATGGCCATATTAACAAGGGCGGACGTCTACGAGACAATCAAGAGTTCGAACCCCGCTGATCTGAAGGGGTTGACGGCTATTCAAGTCCTTGATGCTCAGCTGCGGGAATGGCATTCGCAACTGCCGTCCAAATTCAGGCTTTCATCAGATGGGATTAGCAATTGCTCCCAAGAAATCCGCCCGCAAGTGCTTCTCCTCCACATTACCTATCATCAGTGTCTATGTGCTCTTCATTGCTCCATCGTTCCCCTCTTCTCGCTATCCAGGGTGGCGGAGAGTGAGCACTTCGTCCACAGCCAACGAGTCTCTGCCCAGGTTGCATTTGATAATGCCAGGGCGATATCGGGTCTCATCAGGGCCAACCTCACGCAGGAGCCATCGGAGGCTTACAGATGGCCCGGGTTTGTAGGCTTTGCGCTCTACTGTTCTTGCGCAATCCAGCTGCCGTATCTATGGTGCTCCGATGTCGATGCCCGTGAAGGTGCCAGGGCAAATATACGAGATAATATCTCTGCAATGGCACCCATCGGCCAGAACTGGAAATACGTCGCTGGTTTGGTAAGTCTTGATGCCGTGACATCTTTCAAAACCCACCACGAGCGGTTTTCATGTTTGCTGATGTTGTATTGTTGAACGCTGGGCCGTTCCAACTATGGGAAAAGGGGCGCCTGTGTCTTGATTGATGCTACTGCTGGGAGGCTACCTTCATGATTTTGTCTCAGTCACGTACTAGAGAAAAGTGCTGACTGGAAGAAAGGTGATGAATGTACGGACCTTATATCAATACCGTTCCTCACATCCGATACCTTTGAGCGGTGCTCCAGCCAGCTTGTCGGCTAGCGAACTAGCTGGCAGGAGAGAGGGGGAACCCGGGGCTCTCTCTTCAGCTCTTGGTGGCGGTGGTGGCAGTCTGTGGAAACACAGAGCCCTGATGGAACAAAGCAAGCTGTCCGGCCCGGAGGAGGGACAGGATGGAAAGCCAGTCTATGCTCCTCAGCCTGTCCACACCGGGAGTTCCCAACTTGGTACGTCCACCATCGAAACACGCAAAATGATAAGAAATGACATGCTACGCCGCTTCTCAGTTAGAAGTCGTACTTACTTACACAGCCTGCCTCAGAAACATCCTCATCTCCGCCTATTCCCGCGGAAATCGACACCCATATCGCCCCCAGCGCCACATCGGGGCAGGCCGTCATTCCGACCTCACAGTGTTTCGCATCTCCACCAGGAAATACGACCCAACCCTATGTACCGCCTATTCTCTCGTCCTTGTTCCCCGGTGGTTCGGCCGACTATGATCTTAATCTTGAACCTGAGAGTACAGAGTTTCTGTCAGCCATGATTCGAAACGGAAGTATTGCAGCTTTTGACCACGAGCAGGCTATAGCAGCTTGGTTTGATAACTGATCTCTGAGTTGAAAACAGAGGCTTGCGATAAGAGTGCACAGATATAGACATGTAACTAGCGTACCTCTATTATCTTTTCTGTACAATCACCATACTCCTCTTCCCTTTCAACCTGGCTCGTGTTCTCCTTATGTTGTTCCCAACAAGTCCTTTTGTTCAATGTCAGTATATAGCCATGAGACAGCGACTTCAGCGAACCCACTTGGTCGACTTTGTGCAAAGACGGAGTGTTTGCCGCTGTGTCGGTACGACACTGGTCAGCGGCGAAGGCTGATGGTGACGACGATGCACCAGCCCCTCTTGCTCTCCCAAAGGCCCATTTCATTAGCTCTGCGAAAGGCCAACTCATCTTCTTCGACTTTGACCATGACAAGAGAATCATCAACTCCAGCGCCGCTGTGCGATATTACAGGTCGAAGATGGTGACAGGCCAGGCGGCGTGCCTGGTCCGCATTCGACCACCATAGAAGCGATTTGGGCGAGTCGAGGTGCTCACTGTCATCATCCCATCGGCCCCAGTCATTGAACTCATTCACTACATCCCGAAGCCCGACTTCATCACCACCCGCACTTTCCCTGCTGATTGGTTTCTCTTCTCTTCTCTCCTCCTGCCGTACACGTACGATCCTTGACACCTCCCCCTTTTCCTGGTCACCGGGATCACTGAGGGTCCATTCGGGACCCAGTGCGTCGTCAGGGACGAAGACAGCCTCGACAACCCGAGGAACTGGCCGTATGTGGGGGATAGAAGCTAGCAAGGACAGCACGGCGTCCACCAGGGGAGCCAGAATTTGACTATCCTCTTGTGTGCCGGCATCGAACGAGACAAGTGAGTCCTGGACGAGACGTATGTAGTATCCGAAGAGGTCGGATCCTGCATTCGAAGACGGGTATGGCTCTATGAAGGGATCATCCTGCGGCGGCCTATATATAGCCATGATTGTGCCTGGGCGTATATGTTTGCCTTTACTTTGTTGGTAATAACCCATGGGGAATATATACAAAGTTGGGATGGCATAGGCGAATCAATGCTATAGAAAAACGCAGCCAACCAAAAGGGAAATAGGCCGAGTCGTCACATCGCTGGCACAAGAGGAAACCTCATGTGGACGTGCTGTCTGCCTCGCCCGGTTTACCAGGCGTTCCAACTTGGCAGCCAGGCTAAGAGGCGCAGCTCAGGCCAAAAGGAGTCCGCCCCCTCTCGACTTCCATAGGGTCGCCCATGTGACACCTCGGACTTCGGTTTTTACTATTACGGAAGACATGGAGTTTTGTATAGGTTGGTATGTCTATCTGTAGGACATACTGACAAGAGAAAGAACTCAATCTGTGCTCTTGCGATCTCACAGGTCATGAGACTCTTGTTTGGTAGGCATAGATAGCTGCAGGTCGAATAATTCATCATCCCCATTTTTAAACATCGCAACCTTCTTCGGCGATATTGCTACTGTATAGTCCCCCCGCTCGATGCCCTTCAAGATGCACATCGCACCACGATAGCTTCGCAACACCGAAATACTCCATCTCGAAAAATTTCAAGCAAGGCCCGTTCCTCGGTCTTCACTGCCGAAAGGGATCGTAGGAAACACTTAGAAACGAGGTTGAAAAGCTGCTACCAGAAGAAAAAGAAGAAGAAAGTGTGGTAATCGGCCTGGACCTCCATTTATTACTTTACTTATCAGCCACGGGGGGGCTCTTTCGTGAATGTTGATGATGCCTTGTTGTATGTATGTATTATTACATCGAAGGCGATGAGAATATCGTAATCCTATAGATCATCGACTTCTTCTTGCCACCTTCTTCCAAGGGCCTACTGTCTACATGTATATGCCATACGGTTATTCCCCGCGTCCATCCACTCGGGCGTGGTGTGGAGCCACAATGGCGTCGCGATCCCTCCAAAATCGAACTGTTCAAGCCCAAAAGCACCGGTGTCTAGACAACGCCCAATGACGCCCGGCTCGTGTAGAGGCTCCATCCGGGAAGTATTGATTCGTTCCTGTACCGCACGCTACGGCAGGGCGTCTAGCGCAAGGCTCAATCTGGTTGCCCGTGCCCTGCCGACAAGTTTAGAGCAAACATACTATACCTCCTCCAACGGAGACATACATGCATCTTGAGCGATGCTAGCAGCAGCGTGACACACTGACCAGAAGTATTTAATTCACCATGCCCCAGTAATACCATGCCATCAAGACACCATCTATATAATGAAGAGGGGGGAATTTCGTACAGATCGGACCCTTGTTTAGTAATTTTAAGGCATATGAAATATCTCTTGTTTCAAACCACCGACTGATATCGTCTACAACAGCCGCCACCATGTCGTACACAGTCTCCAAGCCGGACGAGTACCTGGCTATCACTGGCATGGGTATTCGGACCGTGAAAATCACCAAGGCAGCATGGGTATGGCCTTTTCAGCGATGTGTGCGGTTCAGGTAGGATTCTCCCCAAGGACCCAGAAACAGCACAAAGAAGTCATGATAACGCTAACAAAGACATGTGTGGGTTAAGCGTCCAACCTCACGACTACGCCATGGACCTCCAGGCCATGACTCGGGAGAAGCTCAATTTCAAACTACCGACAGTGTACACCATCGGGCCGGACGTGAACCAGCGAGGCGGCAATTCGACGAGCGGCCATGCTAGCGGCGAGGTCGACGTCAACACCGAGGACCGGGGTGACTCGCTGATGAAGTACGTGATGCTGCTGGCCGACTCAAGCGGCGATGCCAAGACGGAGCAGTATGCGCATGTGTCGTCCATCATCAAGGGCATCATCGAGGGCGAGACACGCGTGCTGGTATCGAGCATGACGATGGAGGAGATCTTCCAGGAACGCGAGGTTTTCAAGCGCCGCATCTTCCGCAACATCCAGGGCGAACTGGACCAGTTTGGCCTCAAGATCTACAACGCAAACGTCAAGGAGCTTCGCGACGCCGACGGATCCGTTTACTTCGCCAGCCTGTCGCGCAAGGCCCACGAGGGCGCCACCAACCAGGCCCGCATCGACGTCGCCGAGGCCCAACTGCGCGGAACCGTCGGCGAGTCGCGCCGCAGGGGCGAGCAGGAACGGGAGCTGGCAAAAATCAGTGCCGACACGGCCGTCCAGAAGACGGAGCGCGATGTCGAACGTGCCCAGGCAGACGCCAACCTCCAGACCCGCCAGGCCGTCCTCAAACGCGACGTTGACATGGCCCGCGCCCAGGCCGACCGCGCTCTTGAGGCCAAGGATGAGGAACTCCGTCGCGACGTCGAGAAACGCCGCGCTGCCGCCGAGGCTGAGCGTCTCCGCGCAGATGTTGTCGTCAAGTCCACCATCGAGCGCGAGTCTGCCCAACAGAAAGCCGACGCCGCAGCCTACCAGGTTGAGGCCGCTGCCCGAGCCGCCGCAGAGGGCATACAGCGCAAGGCAGACGGCGACGCCTACGCCACCCGCGCAGACGCTGACGCCCGAGCCTACGCGGCCGAGCAGGAATCCCGCGCTCTCGCCCTCCGCCGCTCCAAGGAGGCAGAAGGTATTTCTGACCTCGCCGAGGCCTACAGCAAGATGTCCTCCGCCCTCGGCGGACCCAACGGCCTTCTCAAATGGCTCATGATCGAGCATGGTACCTACGAGAACCTAGCAAAGGCCAACGCCGACGCCGTTCGTGGTATGGCCCCGAAGATCTCCGTCTGGAACACTGGCACTCAGGGCGACGGCAACAATAGCGGCAACCCTCAGGATGCCGTCCGCAACATGTACCAGATGCTGCCACCCCTTATGACAACCATCCACGATCAAACTGGAATCTCTCTGCCCCAGTGGCAGTTTGGCCACATGGCTGCTGGTGCCAACGAGGTTGGCAAGGAGATAAAGCCCAACAGTCTCAGTTGATGATGATCCTTCAGGAGTTGTTTTCTTTCCTCATTTGTTCCCCTTGTTTCCTCTTTGACATCTCGTTTCTTTGTGACGTCATCGGTTTGCAATGAGCCATCAGGAGGGATGATGCTTGCTTTTCTTAACTTTCTCCTTCCATGTACCATTCGATAGCAAACTAATAGACCTAGTATCACTGTTTATTTGACATCGCGTTGAGACTTTTCGTGGAATTGCTTGGTTTTCATGGGGCATTCATTCCACTCGTCAATAGCTCAGGCTTGAAACATCAATTGTCGAATCTGCCTGATCTAGCCAAAACGTAGGCCTGAACTGGGATTCCAAGTGGCCGGCTGTTGCCCCTGTAGATTCGGCTGTTGCGATGGCTGCTGCTGCTGTGCCTGATCGGGAACAGCAGCATTCGCCGTGGACATAGGTCCTGTGCCGGAGAAACGGATCCCCATGTTAGGCTTCCATGTCTGCGGCTGCATAGGCCTTGGCTGCTGGACGTGGTCAGGGGCTGGCCCCGCCGCACCCGGCCCGCCCCAGGATTGAATGTTAGAGGCCTCAGGCTGGGGCGTGCCATATTGGGGGGACTGCTGATGTTGCTGGGGGGCCAGGGTCTGCGACGACAGCGAGGGCACGTGGCTGTTTATGTTGAGGTTCGCCAGTGGCGGCATGCTGATCTCTCTAAACGGAGATAATAGATCGGGTTAGTTGGATCAAGCATGACAGAGCTATCTAGACGAATAGGGGAAAGCATACTGTTCGAGGGAACGGGCCTCCATGTGACGACTGGCAACCCACTGCTTTACCCGATCGCGAAACCCCTGGCCGACAATCTTATTAAGGTCATTATAAAACTTGCGGGCAACCTCTAGGTTATTAACAACGTCCTTGTACTTAAAGTAGGCCGTGTCGAGGCGCTGCAGGGCTGACTCTCGTTCTCTGGAACTCTGGCTGGTGTTCCGGCGTGACTTGGCCGTCTCGAATTCGCGGTTGGCACGCTCGACGGCGTCCAGGGCTTTTTCCTGTTCCTCCTCTTCCCTGGACAGGGCCTGCATCTCAGGCTCGTACAGCTTGTCAAGGCGCTTGTCGAAGAGATCTTCAAAGTGAGCTGGTACGAGAGGTGTTGTCGGGTATGTGCGCTCAAGTCTGGCAGCCTCCTTGAGCATGTCGGGCTTGATATCGTCACGGCGCACATTGTCCCGCAATGTCTCAATCTTCTTGCGTCGTCGGCTCTCAAGCCGTAGCACGTCACTGTAGGCGCTCCGCAACTTAGCCACGGCCTCCTTGACCTCGTCCGACGTCTCGGTGCGCCGCGACGAGGGTACGTAGTCCATCAGACTACGATCCGAGCCTGAAAGCACCCGCAACAAGTCCTCGATGCTAGCAAACTTATCTCTGACGACGCCGTCGCTGCTCATACTGCTACCCAGGTAGCCCTCGATTTCTGCCGCGACGCCTCGAAGCTCGACACCCTGCACGTCACTCTGCGAGTCTGGTCGCATCCACCGGTCCGTCCCATACTTTGTCCTTAATCGCTGGTCTTCCTCCTCCTCGGACGCCAGAGCCATTTTGCCTTCTTCAAATATGGCCACGTCAACTGCTCTCAGCTTGTCAATGTCTACAAAGCTTCTCCGCACCCGCTGAATAGCGTCTGCCTGTCTAATGTCCTCGGCATGTTGAACCAGAGACTGTGGCAGTCCGATCGGCTTCTCAATAGCCTGCAGTGATCCAGGCAGTCCCAGCGATTCGAACAGTGTGTGAATCCTCTCGGTAAGCGTTTCCAGCTGCTGGATGATTTGCTGGTTCACCATGCGGTCCCTCCTCTCCTCATATATGGATATGGCGACGTGAACAGAGAAGGGCACAAGTCGCGAGAATAAAGCTGGCCCTAACTCGGCCTTGTCACCGAGGAACTTATAGGGGTCAGCGACCTCGGGGGGCGTCCGTGCAATAGCCATATTGGCACGTTCGAGGATTTGGAGTTCAGACTTAGGCGGGACATAATCTAGAATGCAAGTCATGTAAGTAAATGTAAGAAACGAAGGGCGGGAAGACCACTCCTCAATTCACAGGTCAATAGGAAGGGGCGAGTGTACTAAGGTAGATGATGTCATTGTCCTTCTCAGCACGTTTGAGATCCTCTTCAACCTTTCGCTTAAGACCAGTGAGATCGTCGAGGACAATCTTGTTCTGGGCGATGCCGATTCCCTTGATCTTGGCCTCCTTGAGGCCCTCGTTGATACAATCGAGAGCATCCCTGAGCCTGGCAACCTCCTCGCCAAACTTGCCCCTCTCAAGGCAGCTGCAGGCGGCGCGGTACTGGGCGGCGGCAGCGAAGCGGTGGTGCTTGGCGGTGACGTGGTGTATCCAGGCAGTACTGACGGCGTGGCTCTTAGTGGCCGACTCTCCAGCGAGGTGGTAAAGATCCGAGACGCGCGTAGCCAGCTTAGCAATGGACGCGTCCTTGTAACCGTCCGTGACAGCCTTTTGCCAGAAGCATTCCTGGCTCTGAGCCAACATGAGGTTGGTCAAAGATCCGAGAGTGCATGCGTCCATATCTTCAGGCGGATCCGACATGCGCAGTTCTGGAAGCACCGTCGTCTGCATGTGGGTGAGCACACCGGCCGCCAGCGAGAAGTAGTTTGCGGCCGTCTTGAGAGCGTCGGCGTTGGTCCCGTTTCCGCTGTGTGTGTGATACGCCAGCTGCGAGTATAGAGACGCCAGATTGTAAAGGATGTTGAGCAACTCGAACTTGAGGTTGTTGCGTACCAGCGGTTGCTCCGTGTTGTATCCCAGGGCGGGATACCACGAGAATTCGGCACCAATCTATTCCACAAGACCCCAGGTGGGAGAATGGGCGGTTCTATCAGCTTCTTCCTTTATATCTGTCCCCCCTGTCGCGCCTTTTACTTCCGTCTTATGCCTCCTCATTTTTACCTAATTGTCAACATGGGGTCCAACCTACATCGATGGGGAATTTGCCGCCTATCCAAACCAGCTGTGCCGCATACTTCATGAGCTTGGCGATGCCGCTGGTATGAGGTTCCCGAACGTTGACAGCATCTCGTCTTAGGTCGTCGATAATTTCGAGGTCTCGCTTGAACATGTCGGGGTGCTGGTCGTATTTGGCATTGATATACTGCCGCATCACAGACGCAAGGGAAAGGTGCGCCGATCGCCGAAACGGCAACGCGAGTATGTCCCTGCCACCAAAGTGTCAGCAAGCTCCGTTTCCAGCAGGTTGGGAGCGACATAAAGACGCTTGGGCCCCATTTCAATGAATTTTACGGTACTTACGAAACCATACTATTTGTCGAGGCAGTTGACACGCCTTGCTGTCTTCTATCTCGTGTTGCTTTCCTTAGGGAGAAGCAATGACTTCATCATAGATTAGGGGGAGCTTGTGTGCTGTAGTGGGGGGGTTCTGACTAAGCAATTCTTCACTTTGCCCGACAAACCCTTCACTATTGTGATTCAAAATACCCTTTACCTGCAACTGAGGCCATATTTCGGGCATGGCCAATGACAGAGTAGAAGATACTATCATTCAATTTTTTCATTCCCTCTTCTGAGGGCCCATGTCTTGGTATTGTTGGGGAGTCTTGAGTATAACGTTTCTATAAACCATTCTGTCGCCAGAAAAGACACATGTGTATCCTATCCCATCCCCCTTACCGCCCAAGAACAATTGAAAAATGACAAGGGCTCATGTACAATGTGCGCCAACTCAGACCTCCATTGATATACATACCCCAACTGGCGTCACTAAAAGAAAAAATCAATAAAAAAAACCAATTCCATATTGCAAGAAAGAGCAGTAGAACAAAGAAATATAAAAAAAGAGAGAAGGATATGGAAGAAAAGAGGGAGTGATAAAAATTCAGCCATCCAGAGGTAAGACTCATGGCCTTCCAAAAGCCCATGAAATGCTAATAAGCAACAAATAAAACAATACAACGCCCTTCTCAGCCCAGGAAAATAATAGTGGTGTCGTATAGAAAACATAACATGACGGTCAGAAAAATGTATGAGGATTTTTTTTGGAGAAGACACTCAGCCCAACGCCATTAACAGTTGGGAAACTGAGCGGCTGCCAGCTACCCTCCAAGAGACCTTGTATACTTCCTCTTCATCTTTTCTTGTAGATTCTTGAAGTGCCCATTCCCGTCCATAGTCATGCCTTGAGATCATAGGAGAAAACGCCAAATGAAAAGTATGTGAAACATCTAGGTGCCACGGTTGAAAAGGCATAGCCACAAATCCAATGCAGCTGTCCGATCTCATATTTGTTTGGTTGTCCCCGCCAGGGGGGCAGTTGAGCGGAAATTTTCTCAATGTATGTTGAGGAAATAAGATTGGGGAGGTCGAGAAAACGCGTTGGGAAGTCTTGGCGAGAAAATCGAATTGGAAACAGCTTTGATAAAAAAACAGCTAATCATGGGATCATGCGGGGATCCAAACCAGCTCAATGATGCCGTCAATGTTGCTCATGGGGCTGCCGTCCGCATAGGTCCAGCGCTGGTCGTCCTTCCTGCGCACATAAGTCTGGAGGACTGATGAGTCGGTTCGTACTTCGGACTCGACCAGCTCCCAGGCAATCTTCTTACCCGTTCCGGTGAGGGAGGGTCGCTGGGGGCCAAGCATGAAGTCGAGGTTCCAGCCCTTGTTCTCGGGAGGAGCGCTGATGGTACCCTCGAGCTGGTGATAATCCCAGTCAATGCCCTCGGGGTACTGGGCAACCGAGTAGCCGGAGATGACAAAGTCATCTGACGTCTGGAAACGCTGCATGATGCAATCCTCGCCGCAGGTGTGAGCAATCTTGGAGAACTGGCCGGGGCGGGCAGAGTGCCACGAGGAACCACGGTAGTGGTGAAGAGACAAAGGCTTGATGCCCGACTCGTAAAATCCGCTGGGGTCACCGAGAATGTCAAGCTGCCACAGCTGGTTGACCGTGTTGAGGCGCGTGTCGGTGTGCTCGTAGATGCATTTACGGAGGATGATGTCACCCTGAGGGCCCCAGCCACTGTTAGACTCGAGAATCTTCTCCTCGGTGGCGCACAGCGGGTACAAGTCCGTAATCTTGGCAGCCATGGACACCGAGAGGAATACACCGCCGCCCCCGAAAGCCTGAGAGCCGTGGCGATCGACAGCAAAAACATCCTCGGACAGGGTGCCAAGGTACTGCATGCGGGTGTGATCGTACTTGGAGATTTCTTCAATGAGGCCGTGCATGCTGGGGAAAAAGGTGTCATCGTCACAAGTGACCAGCCACTTCTTGTTAGGAGTGTCGCGGTGAGTGTAGAGAGTGGGGACGAGGTTGAGGTAGCGCACAGCCATCTCGGTAGAAGAGTCGCTGTGGTAGACATCGACATCAATGCCAACGTCGCCCAGCAAGTTGGCCACCTCCTGGAGCTCCTCATCGCTGGCATCAAGTAGCATGAGCAAGAGCTTGCCACCGTTACTGTTGCCACGGCTGTCCGTGAGCCAAAAGATCCACTCGTTAATAGGTGTTGTAACAGGGTCCATGAAGCGGCTGTAGGTGGTGGAAACACCAAACATGAAGTCGGAGGCGTTGACTGTGGAGGGCAGGCCGGAGCGGGTGACTTCGACCTCGAGGGGAGGGGAGCAGGTGAGGCGGCCAAAGTGCTGGCCGAGTTCAACCGTCTTGAATTTGGCGGGAACCAGGCGCTGGTCGACATGGGTCATGGACTTACGCTCCAGGCCATCGGTCCGCTTGAAACGCACATAGCGCTTCAAGTACTGAAACTTGTTGTCCAGCATGTTGCGCTCCTTGACTTCGCGGAGGTGCTCCATGTCAATGTTGCAGTCGGGGATGTGGTCGCTTTGGGGCTCTACGTCGGGCGATGTCGGGTTTTGCTGAGCGGGGACCGGTGCAGGAGGAGCGTTCTTGTCGACAGGCTGATCCGGAGTCTGCTCGGCAGGATGCTCTACAGGGTGCTGCTGAGGGTGGGCGGCGGTATTCTCCTTGTGCGATGAGGTGACGCCAGTCTTGCGAAGAAACTCGGCGCTCCGGTCCATGGCCTGCTCTCCTTGGAAAGTGATGAGCACAAGCACCAAAATGACCAAAGCCACCACCAGGGCTCGTTTGTAGGAGTGGCGCATATTGAGTACGCGACCGTTGGTGCTCGGCAGGGTAGCTCCCATATTACTCTAGACCGGCTGCGTGCTTTGTTAGGCTAAGCCGTCGGGGGCAACCCAGGAGACGGCCTCCTCGGTAAAAACGTAACCCCAGGAGGCAGAAGGGGCGGATGTTTGTGGTTGGGAGAAGCCCGGGGTGGCTGTCACGAAAACGATGGACGGTTCGGAGGCAGGGGCGAGTGCGAGTATTGATTTGCGAATCGAGCAGTCGATTAAGACGTCTGGTTGAGTCTTTCCGTAGTGGCCGGGAGTGTGGATGATCGATCAAAGTAGCGAGCGTGTGTGGATAGCAGCTTTGAAAATGAAAAGAAAAGAATGCGGTCGAATCGACAATGATGAATGGGGTAAGAGAGCCGTTTGTTCGGTTCTAATGAGTGACAAGGTTGCAAAGGACCAGGAATGAGAAAGTGGAGCGGGGTGTCTCAGTGTGCAAAACAAGAAAACGAAAATAGATGAAAGGTTGAAAAGGGGGAGGGGTAGGCAGGTTTGGATAATAGGAAAGGCCACCAGTCGTCCCTAGGTGAAGGTGAAAAGACGATGAAGGCTAAGGATACTTGACAAGGCGAAGACAAGAAAGGAGAAGGGGTAATGATGGTGGTGGATGGTCAGTACTGGTCCATGCGAAGTACCCGTACGCAGTAGCTAACCCTGGTGGCGGCACTCCTCTATAGTGCGTTAGCCAGGGGCAGCGGAGCGAATGTGGTGGGGCACGTTCAAGGCCATGGGGCTTGATTCGTAGAGGTAATGAGTGACAACCAGCCACCCATGAGCTGCTGACTCAGGCCAGAGAATCCAAGATATGGCAAGAAAAAGAATAAAGAAAAAAAGGAGCTGGGAGACAGCAGTGTACGAGTACAGGTACCTTGGTACGGTGCTATAAAGCGATGTATTACTGTACTACCATCGACCCCATTATTGCTGCTAATACCGCCTTTACGAGTCGGGACTACGAGTGTACCTGAGTAGTAACAGCACTAAGTACGGATCTAGGAGGAGCTGGAGCCTGGGACAGTACAGTGCCCGGTACGTGTCGTTACGCGTTCGACGTGTCCCCTCAATCCACCATGGGACATAGGTCAAGATAGGCGGTTGAGATGTGGAAATAGCACAAGCACTGTTTTTTTCAATATCGCGAGTCACGCTTTTCCTTCCCCGGATTCACCCATGTGTGGTGTGAGCCAAGACCTAACAAGGACTTGTGTCGCCGTGTCCACTGCTGGCGGCACACAGTGAATGAAACCAGCCTAACGGCCCTAGCCAGGCTGGCCTCCTGAACGATGGTCTAGGCGGAAGGGCCCACTTGGTCCACCTTGTACGAGTAGGCTTGCAGAGGCGCCGCCCAGTGCTGGTCTTGGGAGGGCTGCTACTGTAGGTAATACTAGTAGTAATACTAATGGTTAGTTATATGGACTGAGTGCTCCCGTAGTGGCTACGCAGGTCTCTGTGTCTCGTATATGTATGAGTAGTAGCAGTAGTAGTAGCAGTAGTACTCAACTGATTTATTAGTAATACGTGCCTAGTACTCGTAGCAAATGTAGTAGGGTTACAACAACGACGATACCCGGTAATAGTACCTTTGGCATTCGTAAGTGCGCCATAACAGGTTTGCTTCTGAGCATGTATGTTATACTTAGTAGTTGTACAGTGCGTCATGCCTGATTTAGACTGTGGGCCTGCCCGTGGCGAAATCAACCCGTGGCTCTTGACTCTCTACTCATACAGCCAGGGAAAGAAACCAAGTCCATGTTGGGAATCATACGCAATGGCCAAAAAACTGCGTACAAAACCCGGGTTTGCGAGCCAATGCAAGGTTCGAGTGTGGTGCTCTATCATTCTATTTTACCTTGATCCAAGCTTTGTTTCTTTCTTTCTTAAGATGTCGAGCAGGTATAAGTATTGCCTCACTCCTAAAACGCCAAAGATTTGGAAAAATTGAATCCAGTCAATGGAGGGCTCCACCTCAGTTCCCCCGGCCCCTAATCTTCAGCGCCTCCGCCATCCCTTGGCCTTGGCTGACGCCGATGATGCAGCCTATCTTCGGATGGGGAAAAGGAAATGGGAGGCAAGGCCCTTCCATGACACCGTAAGACGGAATGGTAACACCAAAACAACTTAGAGGCAATAAATCGCATAGCGACATGCAATGCTGTACTCCGCACGATAACACGAGTCCAACAGCCATGCAGATTGTTACAAGAAACCGTTGCCAGCATGATAATAGTACGTCGATATCGTTATTTGCTAGCTTATTGTCATCTTTATCGATGCGGGAAAGATGAATACAGTGGAGACACGGAGAGGGCGAGAAGACTTCTACTCGTATTAGCCGCAACCAACGTGCACCAGTACGAGGTATTTATCCGTTGAAACGCACGACTCGTACCATTTAGCCCTTTCTGCGAGATTCCCTTTAGTACTCTATACTACCATCTCGTATTAGTTAGCAGTAGTGGTATTCGTTTAGTTCCTGACTGATAGTACTTCATCTATCGCCTACGCCGCACTCTTGAATCGACTTATCGAACCTGGCGATGTGAGCGGAGCACGGGGACAGACATCAACAGTGGGCGCGTCATATGAAGATTCGGGCTTTGTGCCAAAAATTCTTTGATACAGTATCATTGCGTGATGGCGGGTAAGTGTCAAATTCGGCCGCGACGCGTCATCGCATGCGACGACGGCTCCCCTACTGTCTCGCGTTTTCGGCAAGGCCCATTTTGCCATAGTGAAAAATGAAATTCGCCGTGGCACATGTGATAGACTCTAGAAGCCCTAGTGAGAAAGGGTGATGATGACATGGAAGAGAGCTAAGTCGCTGCTAATACTAGTATAATCTACGAATTTGGGGTTCTTTACAGAGCATTACGATATAGAATAATCATACAGGCAGTCATGTAAAAGTCACATATCCAACATACCCTGACTTTTGAATAGACGTAATAGAAATACGCGTGAAACAGAGTGTCAGTGTTGTCGTCAATGCCGCGGTATAATTCATCCCACAGCGGATTATGAGCACCAGGCTACCAGTTGACAAATAATCTGACTACACGCGATCGGTGTTGACATTGATACATTTATCACCGTACATGTACAAGGTGTTGACGGATTGCTATGGATATCAGTACTGGTACGATGTTACAACTTGTTCCCGTGTTCAGGGGTTAGGCCCAGGGGGCTGAGAGTCAGAGGGAACCACGCTTTGGGCCGGGTCTATCTCTCTTTGCCTAGAGTCCTTACGAGTACACATTGCAGGCCTTGTTTCTGTCTCAACGTATTCGTACGGAGTACACGGAAACATGTTGATCGATTACGTAGTACTCGTAACATCTTCCCAACATCTGCGACAAATGTTATAAATAAAAGCTAGAAATGACTTTCCATCTGTTGACCAGTTTTCAAAGAAGGGCAAGCAAAGCCGACAATCGGACAAGTACTCGTAAAGCCGCGAAGGTTGCTTTGCTTATTACTACTACTATTATTAGAGGTAATACGGGGGGGGAGGTCTCTGCCTCCGGCGGCCTTGCCGGGAGCTCTCCTCGCTTCGCTCGAACGTCCGGTAAATGTGAGCCTTCCTTGTTATGTTTTCAGTGGTATTTCTTCGTGGTCGACGCCTACACACGTAATAATACATCAAGGTATATGTAGATGCGTACGAAATGTAATTGTATTACCTAGTACCTCTATAATCAGATGTGGCAGAGAACAATTGCCAGTTAATCTACCCCGTATTACTCTGTATTCAAATTGTGGTGGCTAGTGATGGTAAGCGGCCAAATCGCTAGCGCGCAATTTTCCCCCATTACAGAAGCGAATTCGAAAATTACTCTCTTGACGTTCCTTCCAGTCTCGCAAAGCTTCGCGGCTTTTCTTGATTACGCACTTCCAATGTTCGTAGTGCGCGTTCATTTCCATACAGATACGAGTACGCTATTTCTGGTACAGATGTACACTCTCAGAATGACCTATACCCGCGGCGAAAGGAGCAATACCGTACTCCAAGGCCATTACGATTAATACTCGTATACTACTCCTATGTAGTATATATACATACTTCGAATACTGATAATAATCTTCAGTCGCACGTTTATGTGGAGTTAGTAAGAGTAAGCTTCCTCCTACATTGTAATCATCCTTTTGTTGCACCTCTGGTTCATCTTCACGAGGAAAGATGCTTCCCCATCGCCTGCTTCCTCCTAACCAGCTAATACAGAAGCCTACGGCGTATCGATAGTCTATCTGTACAGGTACGAGAATCTTGTCGCTCTTGAGAGGAGTTTAGGAGTATCACTGCATGGCATTCGATAATACAATTTTCTTCACCAGCGGCCATGAATTTGCCATGATTACAAACACGGCCGTGCTCTCCGTACTCGTGCATGTAGCTCGGCACATTTAGTTTCAGCACGCAGAAAGGCTCTTGCTGCCGCCTACCGAGTTTTGGAAGCCTGCCAGCGATCTACACACACCCTCCCTGGTCACCTGGCGGACCACTCGAACCAGCAAGCTGCAAACCCAGAAAAGGTTCCGGTCTAATAAAGCAATCAAGGTGCGGAAGTTGTCCTATGATGGCTATCGCTGGGAAGAGCGTGAAGGCGAAATTTCAGGTATGTGTGTGTGTGTGTGTGTGTGTGTGTGTGTGAATGGGTAGGTAGGGTGTCAAGATGTGCCAGTGCAAACGTTCAATCACGGTATCTGCATAGAGGGGGCGGGTAAGTACGCGTACGGCTACATCCTATCCGTACTCGTACAGTAATACTCTACTCCGTATCACATGCACAGGCGCTCATTTTCCTCTTAACGGTCATTGGGGCCTATCATTATGACGAGTATCGGAGCAGCAAACTCCCGTATCCGTAGTAAATAACACGAGTAGGTCTCTGCACGAGTACAGATTACATTGCTAGCACTACTACTCCGTACAGGTAATATTATTACTATTGCCGGTGCTACTCCGTACTGTACCTGCACTATTACCATCCTGCCGCACGAATACTCATACAGGTAGGTATGCTGCGAGGGCCATTGCGACGTATTACATGGGTGTGAAGAGCCACTGTATGTCCCTTCCTAGCCAGGCAGGTAATATACGACCCGGGTACGAGTGCGCCGTCCACATGTGCGGTGTTCCTTTTGACTCCTCTTGCTCTCTGTCTCTTATTGTCAAAAGATACGAAGTGTCCAATATCATCTGTCTACTAATCATATACGTACTTACGGAGATGGAAATTAGATGCCCTCGCCAATTCCCCTTACCCCTGTTCCTTTTCCGCCAGGGAGGCTAGGGTACGTAAGCTGCCTGCCGTACGAGCAGGCTTGATCATTACAAGTATGCACGGAGTGTTATTACTCATGCTAACCTCTAACCTCTACCGCTGTCTACTTGTACAGATGACGTGACTTTGTGCTATATTGCGAAATGTAGGTCTGGCCACTCAACGACGCCTGCTTTTCCACTGAGTTGATAACACGGACCTTGAGTTTTTACCACCACCTACTCCGTACAGAATACCCAAGTTGCCAAGTACAGCTGCGACACGCCACACGTACGGCAAGGGTTGGGAAACCCCGTCGAAACACCTCTATCTGTGTTCTTCCCCCCTATCCCTCAGTCCGACATCTAAGTCCTGAGTCTTGACTCTTGACACCACGACTCCCTTTTTGTTCCCCACACACTAAAGTCGCAACGTCTCTAAAATACAATCAGCAACAGTTCCAGATTGTCAAAGGCCACTTTTTCTTGCCATATCTCGTTCTTCCTTTTCCCTTCTTATTACCATCGGACATCGGCACTCATGTACCCCAGGTATGTTACGGTATTTGCTCCAGTGTTGAATCAAAGTAAAATTTTGTATCATATTACAAAATTGACACTATGAATAGTTCGTCACGACTTGGGTAACGTATCACCCTTGTACCGCGCAATATTAATATCACCTGGATCCCGTTGTCTCGTTTCCTTGCTTTTGAAATCCGAGTACAGATACAGTTGAGCAATAACACTATATACATATGCGGAGTACGAGTATATATGTCGGTGGCGCGCACCTACCTGTTGTCGATACTACCTCTAACAATAATACTGGGGGCCTACTTTACAAGCCCAACGGAGTATCATCACGGGTAGTGCATAGCAAGACGCCTTTCTATGTTTTTTCTCATGCCGGGCGAGGTATCATTTTCACCGAAGGGACAAGATTAGAGGGAAAGCCCCGAAGACAGTTGGTAGTCACAGTATATATCCTACAGGCTCCAACCTTCACTCCCGTTACATATTCTTGGTTACTTCCCTCCACTCGCACCTTGTCTCCTGTCACCTCGTCGTATTCATGCCTCAGGCACTAACCCATATACAGAGAGCTTATCTCATGAATAGAGACAAAGCTGACTCCTTTTGTATAATAACAAACCAGCGTCGATCTCATGTGCGATATAAATACAACATTCTGACTCGCCGACGCAGACGGCTCGTCCGTATCCCCATCCTAGACCCCACCTGGCTCGATGCGGTACATAATCGGATATGTCAACAGCTAACTACGAGTATAGATCCACAATGCTCTTTACAACCTTGGCCAAGGACGATCCAATCCGGCAATGATGTATTCCCGAGGACTCACAAAGAAGTGTTTTCTTTTTTTTTTTTTTCAAAGAAAAAAAAAAGAAAAAAACGATATTACTAGTGAATATTCGTAAAAACAATAAAGTATTAGCAAAATGGGCTAGCTTTCGTATAGCTTCCTTGGCCTCCTATCTCATCTTACGTGTATTTCTATTACCGACTTTTACTCCACCCAGGTTACTCATTAACTGATTCCATCAAGGCTGTATGATTCTAGCCGTCTTTTCATCCTTCTCATCTTGATCTCTTTCCCTATTGATATTGTTTGCTACAAGGGCCAAGTCATGGCTCAGTATTTCGCTATATGTACATTGTCCGAACTATGTGGCAGGGTCAGGTGTGTGTCCAACAGGGTAGGAACACGATAACCCGTGATACCAAAACGACTTTCAGTAACGACATCTCATTTGAACCTCTTAATTTCACTTCAGAAAAGGACAAGGGGATCTGGGTACATGATCCCTTCTGCATCATTAAACAATCTCTGGTATATTCCACCCGGAATTCGAGTATAGCATAGACGAAGCAGGTAGGTATGTAGTATCATATTTTCTGTCAGTAAAGGTGAAGCATAGGGGTCTATCTTTGTTTTTGCTAGTAGTGATGTTCACACCATAACCTCACACCGATCGAGTCATAACTTACAGCTCGTTCCAAACTCTACAAGTTCCACTGGTGACGAGAATTTTGACGGCACTTGAACCCGCGAGTGGGCTCCATAAACATGAATAACTGGCCTCCGGGCAGCATTTCGTCCATGCAGGCTACCTAACAATTGTTTACTATCGTCAATCTATACAGGTCCCGGACTGGAATGGGTATGCCGATGAGGTAGGTCCCTTCCCTTCTTGAGGAGTCTCCAGCCCAGGGCGAAGTACCATACCCAGCCATATCTAACCAGTCGTTATCATCTTGACACCTCCGGAAGCGACGATGGTTGAATATGCAGGAGAAGGGGGAAGACAGTATTATCTGCCTCTCTGCCACCTCGAAAAAGAACTCGATAATTGTCACAAGTAAGTCACAGAATGGAGACGCCTCTGCCACAGCTTCGTATTAGATCTAAAGATGTTCTAGCAGACCCGGTAGAGACTTTTATAGTGCTAGATGGGAGAGCGACGTGGCTGGGAATTCCATGAAGCACCTCCGGTTCACAGTACATCTGTGGAGATATGAAGACGGCTTGCGATACTCCGCTGACCAAGGTCTGACGAGATATTAGACATGAGTATATGCCATGAGGCACTGTACCAGGGAAAGTGTAACGTATAATAGTGACCAACTCGGTTCGTTGTCATCGCTTCAGCGTTAGACGCCCGTCCGCCAGTGATAACGTCTACCGTTCTTAGCATATACTGCTGAAATAATATCATGTCCGTGGCATCCGGCCACGCACCTGTCCTGTGCGTCGGTCCCTGTTCGTTGGTGGCACAAAGCGCAAAAAGCGACCTACCAATGAAACTTGTTGGGAAGAAATTCCCATGTCCGCAACCACAAGACAGCCATCATGCTGTATGTTTTTATTTGACTATCCCATGGGCATGACTTCAAAGCTAGATACGGCCGAAAACTATAACGAGGTACAGGGGAGTCTTACAGGCCTCAGTCATATTGGGGTAACTATTTGTTGTGATTGTGCCAACGGGTGCGTCCAAACGTGACGATTGAGGAAGGAAATGTTTGCATGTTTTGCTGCGGTAATGTGGGACGCAGCGTAGGTACGGGAAACACATAATATATACGTACAAAGATACCATGGCTATATGCCTCATTAACACGCGATCTGATGTAAGGGACGAAGCTAAAGGGCAGTATCTGATATTGAGCTTTGTACTTACCGCTGGTTGATGGGATACCCTTTCCTTCTCCTCCTTTTGCTCCCTTCCTCTTGCATCGAACGGATTTAGGAGGGAAGGTCCAGTATAGTTTCATAAACTGGCGGCCTGACCTAGGCAAGTTATAGTGCTAGTGCTCGCAGCTCGGCATTGTTATATCCGCAGTTGTATGGATCATGGTTGAGACGACACGGGTGCGGGGTAAGAGTCTGTCCGACGGACGATCAAACGAGACGCAGATAAAAAGTCCGCGCCGTGGTGGAACGTTAAAGTATACATGTACGAACAAAAATGTATCCTTCAATATTACAGATAATAGTATGTATAGATCAATAACAACGATGGAGGATGCAAACGGTGTGGGATGTGGAGTTGATTGTCCGAATTGTGAACCAACATGTGACACGCGACGCTGGCTGTAGGGAGCTAGTCTGGGGGCTAACGCGCGCGGAGAAGAAACAAGGTAATAAGAAACAGTATATACCACCATGAGCGTTTACATATTATTAGTTACTACCCACAAAGCCGATTTTTTTTTCACAGCACCAAATCGCTATACTTCTGGCGGGTCCGAAGTAGCAGTTGATGCTTTATATATGCCAGCACGTCACGATTGGAATGGTTTCGTAGGGCGGCAGAAGAAGATTCACTGATCATGGATTAAGCCTGAGTACAGGTGGCGTGGCGTGGCGTCATAGACTGAGCATCAATCAGCGCTATTCACTGCTCGGAGGTGCTCACTACGCCGACGTGCGAGATTGGGATGGATTGCTAACGGGAGCCTATGCACAGTCTGATGCACTTTCGTCTGTCGTTCAGGGATATAAACTCCCTTGTATTTCTTCCTGTGTTAGCACATCAAATTCCTCCCCTTCCTCAGTTTCCCCCCCACGGTCGCGTTTGGTCATATCTACGGCGTAGATATACCCATTCACGATGACCGAACATCAGCAAGACATAAAGCACGGCGACACCCTGGAGAGAATACCCCCCACGTCATCTTCTGATAGTTCTGCTGTCACGGTCTCAACTCACGGAGATGGAAACACACACTTGAAAAGGGTGCAGACGACCGATGAGCAGGAGGACAATCTTTTCCGTGCGCTATCACGCCGACGTACCAGCGCGACTGGCCAAGGCCGACACGGCGATGGCGACGGCGATGACGAAAATCACGAGATCAACCGTCTCATGTCCCGTATGTTTGGACAGGCACGCAGAGAGAAGAACGAAGAGAACGAGACACGACACAGCGGTGTCGTCTTCCGCGACCTCACCGTCAGGGGCCTTGGCCTGGGTGCCAGCCTCCAGCCCACGGTTGGGGACATTTTCATGGGTCTCCCGCGTAGGCTGGGCAATCTGTTTAGCCGCGGGACCAAGGCTGCCGTTTCCAAACCTCCTGTGCGCGAGCTTCTCAGCAACTTTGACGGATGCGTGCGTCCCGGAGAGCTTCTGCTCGTTCTCGGACGTCCCGGAGCCGGCTGCACCACGTTTCTCAAAGTTTTTGCCAATCAACGGTCGGGTTTCGAGTCCATCGACGGCGATGTGACATATGGTGGCACCGGGGCTGACGAGATGGCTAAACGGTTCCGTGGAGAGATCATCTATAACCCTGAAGACGATCTCCACTACGCTAAGCTGTCGGTGCGGCAGACATTGTCGTTTGCGCTGCAGACGCGCACGCCCGGCAAGGAGGCCCGGCTCGAAGGCGAGACACGCGGCGACTATATCTCCGAGTTCCTGCGCATCGTCACTAAGCTCTTCTGGATCGAGCATACGCTCGACACCAACGTCGGCAACGAGTACATCCGCGGCGTATCGGGCGGAGAGCGCAAGCGCGTCAGCATCGCAGAGGCTATGATCGCCCGTGCTTCAGTCCAGGCCTGGGACAACTCCAGCAAAGGCCTAGACGCTTCAACTGCCCTCGAATATTTACGCTCCATTCGCGCCATGACAAACATGGCCGGCGTCTCCACCGCCGTTTCGCTCTACCAGGCTGGCGAGTCTCTGTATGATCTTGCCGACAAGGTCCTCCTCATCGACGAGGGCAAGTGCCTCTATTTTGGCCCTGCCGACGCCGCCAAGAAATACTTCCTCGACCTAGGTTTCGACTGCCCCGATCGCTGGACCACACCCGACTTCCTGACGTCTGTCAGCGACGATCACGAGCGCAGCATCCGCCCCGGATGGGAGAACCGCATTCCACGGACGCCGGAGGCGTTTTCCGAGCTGTACCGTCGCAGCGAGGCCCGCCGCCAGAACCTGGCCGACATGGAGGAGTTCGAGTCGCAGCTCCGGAGTGAGAAGGAGAGCAGGGGTGGCGACGCTGCCGACACACAAAAGGATATGAACTATACACTTCCCTTTTACCAGCAGGTAATGGCCTGCACCAAGCGTCAGTTCCTCATCATCGTTGGAGACAGGGCATCCTTGTTCGGAAAATGGGGTGGGCTTGTTTTCCAGGGCCTCATTGTCGGTAGCAGTTTCTACGGTCAGGACAACACGGTAACTAGTGCCTTTGCCCGGGGCGGAGCCTTGTTCCTCCTCCTCCTTTTCAATGCGCTGCTGGCCTTGGCAGAGCAGACGGCGGCTTTTGGAGCCAAGCCAATCCTGCTCAAGCACAAGTCCTTTAGCTTCTACCGCCCGGCCGCCTATGCCATTGCCCAGGTGTTTGTCGACATACCCCTGGTTCTGATTCAAGTGCTCATCTTCAACCTCATCATCTACTTCATGGCCGACCTTGCCCGCACCGCCTCGCAGTTCTTCATCACCTTTCTCATCCTTTGGCTCGTCACAATGACTACCTACTCCTTCTTCCGCGCCATCTCAGCCTGGTGCGGCACTCTCGACTCGGCCACACGCATCACCGGAATCTCCATTCAGATCCTCGTCGTCTACACTGGATACCTGATCCCTCCCGGGTCTATGCACCCTTGGTTCAGTTGGCTACGCCGAATCAACTGGATGCAGTACGGGTTCGAGTGTTTAATGGCAAACGAATTTACCTATCGTGATATGCCCTGCGAGACGCCCTATCTCGTGCCTCTAGGCCTCCGCGCCAGTCCTCAGTACCAGTCGTGTACGCTCAAGGGCAGTGTTCCGGGCCGTACCAGCGTGAAGGGGTCCGACTACATCAAGGAATCCTTCAACTACAGCCGCTCCCACCTCTGGCGGAACTTTGGCTTACTCTGGGCCTTCTTCATCTTTTTCGTATTCCTCAATGTCGTCGGCATGGAGCGCATGAAGGCCAATGCTGGAGGGGCTGCTATCACCGTTTTCAAGAGAGGACAGGTTCCCAAGAAAGTTGAAAAAACCATAGAGACTGGAGGCGGCCAGGGCACCAAGGACGAGGAGACTGGCGCCAGCCAAGGTGCCGCCACCGTCAGAGTGGGTGCCGACAAGGATGAAAATGAGAAGGAGAGTATAAAGACAACACAGCAGGTTGCCAAGAACGAGACGGTATTCACGTTTCGCAATGTGAACTACACCATCCCTTTCAAAGGTGGCGAACGCAAGCTTCTGCAGGATGTTCAGGGCTACGTTCGACCCGGAAAGCTAACTGCCCTCATGGGTGCTTCTGGTAAATACTACCATCTCTTAATTCCTCATTCTTCAAGGAGAACACAAAAAGACTGACCAGAGCAAATATTCGACTTATAGGTGCTGGAAAGACGACGCTTCTCAATACGCTCGCCCAGCGTATCAACTTTGGAACAGTCACAGGCGACTTTCTCGTGGATGGGAGGCCACTACCCAGGTCATTTCAACGGGCTACTGGCTTTGCCGAGCAGATGGATATTCACGAGCCGACAGCCACCGTTCGTGAGGCGCTCCAGTTCTCAGCCCTACTCCGACAGCCGCGCCACGTCCCTCGCGAGGAGAAGCTGGCATATTGCGAGACAATCATAGATATTCTAGAGATGCACGACATTGCCGGGGCGGCTATCGGCGTCACGGGCCAGGGTCTGAACCAGGAGCAGCGCAAGAGGCTAACGATTGGCGTGGAACTGGCATCGAAGCCTGAGCTTCTCATGTTCCTGGACGAACCGACATCTGGCCTTGACTCGGCGGCAGCCTTCAATATCGTGCGGTTCCTGCGTAAGCTGGCGGACGCGGGCCAGGCGATTTTGTGCACTATTCACCAGCCGTCGGCGGTTTTGTTTGAACACTTTGACGAGCTCCTCCTGCTCCAGTCGGGCGGCCGGGTCGTGTATCACGGACCTCTGGGCGAGGATAGTCAGATACTCACGCATTACTTCGAGTCCAACGGCGCCAAGCCGTGTCCCGCCAATGCCAACCCAGCCGAGTACATGCTAGAGTCTATTGGGGCGGGAGACCCCAACTACGAGGGACAGGACTGGGCGGACGTGTGGGCCAAGTCGGAGAATCACAAGGCGCGATCGCGCGAGATTGAGGCCATGGTGAAGGAGAGGCAGCATACCGAGATGTCGCAGAGCCTCAAGGACGACGACGAGTTTGCAGCGCCCATGCGGCAGCAAATGATCTTGGTCATCAAACGTGCTTACATATCGTACTGGCGGTCCCCTAACTACATTGTGGGCAAGTTCATGCTTCACATCATGACAGGCCTATTCAACTGCTTCACCTTCTGGAGACTGGGCTACTCGTCGACCGCTTACCAGAACCGTCTGTTCTCGATTTTCATGACGCTAACCATTTCGCCGCCGCTTATCCAGCAGCTTCAGCCGGTGCTCCTCCGGTCGCGTGACATCTTCACGTCGCGCGAGAACAAGGCGAAGATTTACTCCTGGCAAGCATGGGCGACGTCAATCATCCTAGCCGAGATTCCGTACCTGGTCGTGGCTGGAGCCGTCTACTTCTGCTGCTGGTGGTGGGGCGTTTTCGGCACACGCGTCTCGAGCTTCACGTCGGGCTACGTCTTCCTGCTGGTACTCCTGTTCGAGCTTTACTACACCAGTTTCGGGCAAGCCATTGCATCATTTGCCCCTAACGACCTGCTAGCCTCGCTCCTCGTTCCACTCTTCTTCCTCTTCATCGTCTCGTTCTGCGGTGTCGTCGTTCCAGCCCAGCAACTGCCCACCTTTTGGCGCGAGTGGATGTACTGGCTCTCCCCCTTCCACTACCTGGTCGAGGGCTTCCTGGCTGCTGCCATCCACGACAAACCCGTCCGCTGCACCAAGAAGGAGTTTGCCTACTTCAGCCCGCCCCCCGGTCTGTCGTGCGACCAGTACGCCGGTCCTTACACCAAACAGGCCGGCGGCTACATCCAGACCCAGCCCGACGGCTCGTGCGCCTTCTGCCAGGCTGCCACCGGAGACGAGTTTGGCCGCGGCTTTAGCGTTTATTACAATCACATATGGCGCAACTTCGGTATCTTCTGCGCCTTCATCGTCTTCAATTACTGCATTGTCTACCTCTCCACTTGGCTCCGCTTCAAGGGCAGATCTACCATCCGGTCTATTATTCCCGCAAAGAAATCGACCGGCAAGAATTAGCGAGGCATGTACGTGCAGTATTGGGCCACAAGCCTAGGATCTCGAAGCCCTTTATGTATCTAATTATTATATAGTCAATTAACTAAATTGAAGTATCTTAGGACTAGGTGTGGGAAAACAAGGAAGAACAAGCAAAAAGAAAACAGAGTATAACTACATCAATACGATCCTCCAATCAACAGCTACTCGAGGCCAGATACGAGAGTGCGCGCGTGTATGTTGTGTCTCCATCAGAGTCCCTCGCTATTACGTATCACTTTGAGTTAGGTCAGTGAAGTCTTCTTAAATCATCGTGGGCGTATAACGCCTCAAGTATTGGCCAACTCACAGTAGCGCGAGCGTCAAGTCGCCATGGATCCTGGCCTTGAGCTCAATGTCGACCTCTAGGTTGAGGTCGAGTCGCAGCCTGAGGGGTTTCTTGCCGTCGTCTTCTCCACCACCGCTGGGCTGGGCGACCTGGCCCTGAGGTGGTGCCTTCTGTTGCACATCTCCAGCCCTCTTCCTTTGAGCCAGCTGCTGTTGCTGTTGATCGGAAGGGGAGGAGGAGACATCCTCCACATCATCGTTGTCGTCTTCTTCGCTGCTTTCTCCCTGGGTATCCTGGAACTGGTCCTGCCCGCCTCGATCATTCTGAGGCGAGTAATCAAGCTCATCATCGTCATTGCCGCCCCATTGCTGCGACTCCTGCTTCTTGGGCTCTTCTGTTGCTGTCTAGTAATCATGTAAGTCTGAGGTGGTCTCTTCTCAAATTATATACTATGGCTCATACCTTATTATCCATGGTGTGATTGTGAGTATCCCAAGATTTTTATCTTTTTTTTTACTGCGGGTACGGTATCCTGTTGCTGGATGTCGCTTTTTTTTATCGTTATTTTTTCTGTGCTCGTCAAATATAAGCGTTCTGGATGACTATAAAAAAAATGAAGAAGGTGAACTGGTTTTTCTATCCTCAGACAGCGTTGGAGTCCTTTACACCAGAAAGAGCATAGAAGGCTATAGAAATGGTGATGCAACCGTGCGTCTAACAAAACATGCTCCCTGGTGCCGATCGACATTTTGTATAAATCTAGATACCCAGGAGGGAAATATCATTCATTACGTGTACCGATGAACGAGTCTATGCTGTTCCTTGTTTTCTTTCCGCTCTCCTTCAACTCTTCTTTTTTTAGCACACGAGACGTCAGGCGTCAGCATAGAAGCAATGTATGACGCATGACTCACGGCAGGGGGATATGAAGAAGGAAAAGGGGGGCAATAGGAGTGGTGAGGGGCTGCGCGGGATGGATGTGCATGCGAATCCCTCAATCGCTGTGGAGGAATCAAGGTCTGGGGGATAGTCACGGAAGCGGGTCACACCATGCGGGATATGTGTTACATACATAGTTAACTGTACGTACACGAGCACTCGTATCCTGAATCCAGATGATTGTTTAGAGTGGAACAATAGGCTAATATCAGGGCGAGTCCTAGAATAGGAGCAGCCAGTCCTCGATGGAGTTTTTGCCCCCGTGTTAACTTTGGAGAACAAGTCTGAAGCCCGAATTTCTCGAGTTGAAGAGAAGGGTACGGAAAGAAAGAAACGAAAAACGGAAAATACAAGAGAAAATCGAGGCACAATGGTCATCGGTTTACTTGCGCTGACGTCTATCCCGACCATCATCGGCGTGGGAAATTCCGTGAGTGCACAGAAGAGAGAGAATGCTGCTCTGTCTAAGGAGCAGGAAAAGTTCCAGCTCACGGCTATGCTACCTACGGAGGAAGGAGAGCTTCGAGAGGCAGCGTTCTGCGTGCTGGTTGACGGACAGGTAAGTGCTCTTCTCTATTCTTCCCTCCTCACTCTCTAAGAGACAGCCATCTAACCTCAAATCCATGGTAGATCTATCTCGACTTCCCCCAAAGACCAGTAGAAGGGCAGCGATTTTGCGGCTACTACTTTCCATACCCTAGCGAAGAGAAGCATCGGGGGCTAGTGAGCTTCATCTCAAACGACCCTCCGGCGCTCAACTGGATTTACGTGGACGCGGAGACGCATGCGTTGCGCTATGGCGGCAGGAAGGACACTATGGGCCATACCATTGGACCGTGGGGGTGGAGCGAAGATGAGCACTTTCTCGACCTGGAAGATGATCCAGCCAAGTTTGTGGCGCGACGTCAGGACGATGGACGATGGGCCGTGTACTGGCACCCCACTGGAAGCAACGACAACGGCGACAGCTACAAGTCCAAATGTCAACCAGTACGACTCAGACGGCGGAAGCTACTTGGAATGGAGAGCCGTTATGTCAGACACTGAGGGCTATCTCGCCCCTTTGTCGAAGCCTTGGAGCCTTTTTGGGTAATGGTTGACATTAAGCTGTGGCAAAGCTGACAGTCGGGTTGGAAGAGGTGGTCCGAAACCTTGGATATGGCACACGCTCCTAACATGCATACACATTCGCCCACATACGAGGACATACGACATCATAATCCATTATTGGAAACGAAAAATTCATGCGCGTGTGAGATTTAGTGGCTGTGGAGTTGAGATGGAGGGGGAGAATCAACGGCCAGGGTGGTGGGTGGGTGGGGAACCTTGTGCCATGACTTCATGTTTAAAAACCGGTCACCAAATTGTATATCCTACGAGAATCGCGGTTGTCCTATTTAGGTATTCGCTTTCCTTGTAGTTTTATTTCTAGCAAAGTTCTACACTAGTATCAATCTTCTCGTCCTCTTCCTTCTTTTACTCATATTAGCCTCAATCCCTTGTTGCTTCTCCTGCTGCTTCTCCATTCCTCGATCAACCGACCATATCTAATACCATGTCTTCAGCACCAACAATGGAGAAGCCTACGCAGGACCTCGACTCTGCCGATGAGAAGGCCAGCCAGTCTGGCGAGGATTCCGGCCGCCCCTCGAACCAGTCCACTGGCAGGAAGCCCCGCCGGGGTAACAAGAAGTCCAGCAAGAAGGCCAACACAGATCTGAACCAGCTCTCGACAGGCGGTGTTGAGGGCGTCGCCGACAACACGGCCAATACCATGGGTGACCTGGGAAACAAGGCGATGGACAGCAAGGATGATAGCAAAGATACCCTTCGTCTTCGCCTCGATCTCAACCTAGAAGTCGAGATTCAACTCAAGGCCCGCATTCACGGCAATCTTGAACTAGCCCTCTTGTACGTTGTAGCCCCCCCCCCCTCCCCTTTTGAAACTTTGCCCCAACCTTTCCCATCTACGGCGCTTCATATTCGACTATTTAATTATGGAACAGTCCTCGTTCTTACGCAAAATCTTATCATTCCAGCATGTGATCAAAGAATCAAACAAATACTTGGACTCGGGCTAATCGATTGATTGCTGCTGCAGGAACTAATAGGTAGACATGAGTTGGAGAGAAAGACGGCTAGAGTTGTTCATCTTTTTTCCTTACCTTTTTTTTCCATCTTTCCTCTATTTGCTCATTCATAATTTTCTTGCCTATAATGTGTCCGCGGGAGGGAAAGGGGATTGGCGTTATGTTGTTTCGAATATCTATCTATCCATTATTGTGTCGGGTAGTAATGATACTAGTAATAGTAGTAAAAATAGTTGTGAAATAAATCTACAGATTACATTCCACAATATAGCCCAGCCAACGCCTTTTGTCGCAGAACCGGTATCGCCAGGGACAATTCTAGTAAGCATTACGGGGCATTAACATATGGTCACACATTAGATGGTAACACCCGGCCGGGCCCATAATAATAGCATTGTGCGCCATATGTATGCTGTAATAACGTGTACGACAGGCGGCCCGACACGCTAGGGACTCGGGAGCGTCTAATCGTCTGAAGTTAGTGACGATTTATAGTGACGGCTCTTCCATATTGTTTAGTAATAGCGACGGTTCTTGGCACATACCTTTCTGGTATTACGAAATAGAGCATGCGCGAGCACACACGACCATGCACACAGCTAGTGGTTATGACGTCACGACACTATATCCAGTATGCATGATCCATCTGTGATTCATGCCGTCCCAATATCTTATGCCACACTGCTCACACGGCAGGCATGCCTAGATAAGCCATAGAGCTCCTGCCTGCCCTGATTACAGAGTGCATAGTAATAGTAGTTATGCTTTCCTTCTATTCTAATATTCATTACTATGATGCGGAATCTTCCTTTTTCTTTCATTGCCACCTAGCACCGCCCAAGAACTACTCCAGACAGCTGATGCCTGATTTTTGGAGACTTACCTCTCGAAGCTACATCCCAGCTGCGTTTTCCTTCGTCCTTCCTTCGTCTGTTGGCTCTGTTTTCGGCGCGCATAGAGCACCGCATGATCGAGTCCTGATTACGCCCACACTCACACTCGCCCACAGACTGAGACAGGAAACATGTCGTCTCCACACACCGCGACGCCTGGGGATGACGCCCCTCATGACACCCACACCACGCACATGATTGATATTCCCTATCGAGGCGCCTTTGTACCCCGAGACAGCCCCAAAGAGCCCCCCGAGATTACGCCCATACCCAGGATCAACCATGATACCGCCGCCGCTACGGAACCTTCCCAGCAGCAACAGCAGCCGCCGCCGCCACATTTGCCAGATCGCTATCAAGCCCTGGTAGGCCGCTTTGTCGATGAGTTTGGCAACATTCTCGACGATGATGGCACCGTCCTAGGTCGGGTAGAAGGGGATCTCCCCTCCATGGTAGGCCGCCCCGTCTCGGAAAAGGGTGAGATCTTGGATGGAGACGGCGAGGTAGTCGGCCACGTCGTCGAGGATCTCACTGCGCTTCCCGAGCTTCAAGAACTTGACGGAGCCCTCAGAGTCGACGCAAGTGGAAACATCTACAATGAGAATGGCGAGGCTATCGGCAGACTCAACGAGGCCCGCCCTGGCGGCCGTGCCCAGGAGCAGCAGCAGCCGCAACGACAACCTAGTTACGGTAGTAGTCCGGGTGGCCCATCACCTGCAGCACCTGCACCTAGGCCTGCATCTGCACCTAATCCCTCGGAGATTTATCTCGATGTCAAGTCCACATACGACGGCATCCAGCTCATCATCAAAATCCCGAGTATATTCAACAGGGATAAGGACAACAACAATGTGCCGGAGGACATGAAGGGCACCACCCGCTAGCAAGTCACAGATTGCCATTAAAGATCACGGCGAAAAAGAAAAAAAAAAGAATAATAATGAACCTAAGATCTAAATTCACCGAGCACACAAATTCACCGAAATGTGGCCAAGTTGATTCTTCCCCTTCCAAACAGTCGGGTTAAATATCTCGACCGTGGAGTGGAGTCTTTGCGTGGGTTTCATGTGGGCTCGTAGAAAAACTGGTTTCCAAATGCGGTCGCCTCCCATCTAACGCCTTCCCCAACCCATGCTCATGATACACATCGGGGACCCAATCTCGATCTACAGATGACTTGTTGCAGAGAGGTCACGACCCACGACCCTGCTTTCCATGGTAGCCTGGCAAGGCAGGGATTGGCATCCCCTCTCCCCATCCTGGTTTACACATCAATGATGGATCATCTTGATGATGCCAAGATGCCAGCCACCGCCCCCCGGGTGTCGTTGATTTCTAGCCACCGCCAAGCTGTACAGTTCGTAAATGAAGGAGGGCATCATCATCATGGCAGTGGCCAATCCTTGTGGCTGACGCATTATTTTAATGACGCAAATGACTTTCTTTTTTTCATCCCTCCACCTTTGCCCGCTGGTAAACACAAATCGACGACGCAAGTGGCACAATGAAACGGCGGTTCTTTTGATAGCGATGGTGACGAGGATCAAGGCCGGTTGTGTCATTGTGTGCTTCTGGTTGCGAAGGAAAGAAGCAAAACTTGTTTGCACAATACTTCACCGACGTATATATTTAACGGGTAGCTGTTGAAGTCCGTCGGGTAGTTGAGCCATCATTACGCTACACAACACACAAGAAGAACAAATAAACAAAGCAAGTTGCAAGTTTTATCATCAGTAGTAATACTCTCCAGGACGCAAAACATGGCATCCTTGAACCCTTTGTCTATCCCTGGCGGGTGGAAGAAGGACACCCCGGTAACGGAGAACCAAGATCCCGGTGAGCAATGCCTCGGAAGACGAGAGCATGAAGGAACTGCCATCTAATACATTGTCATCTACAGCCGAGTCAGTCCCCCGATCGGCAACTGGAAACAGCGGCGGCGACCAGGCCGATGAGAATGGCGTGGGCAGACAGTCTGTCGCCGACTTTGCCGACGCCACCGAAGGCCATGACAGCACCCACCAGGACGAGCGCGGGACCGAATACTCCATCCACGCAGGCGAGTCGGCAGCGGAAGCCCCTGTACAGATGGAGGACCGTGACGGTGAGGCTGGATACGACAAGATCGCCGGTGGGCTTGTCGAGGCCGATGGACGCGTCGTCTCCCGAAGCGGCATGACCGCCGGCTCAGTCGTCGACGGCGACGCCGCTCAAATTGAAGGCAGCAAGGTTGGTGACGATGGAACCATCCGTGACCTCGGCGGGGAACCTGTAGGCAAGGCAGAGCCTCAGAATGAGGCAGAGGAAGAGAAGCCTGAGGAGGAGAAGCCTGAGGAGGAGAAGCCTGAGGAGGAGAAGCCTGAGGAGGAGAAGCCTGAGGAGAAGCCTGAGGAGGAGAAGCCCGGAGAGGAGGAAATTGAGGATCACGCCGGCGACTACCAGAAAGAAGCGTACAGTAAACTCGCTGGCGGCACCGTCGAATCTGAAGGTCGTGTCACTTCCAAGGGTGAGCTCGTCGGCACAGTCGTCGAAGGTGACGCCAAGGCCCTTGAGGGCAATAGGGTCGGCGATGACGGAACCATCCGAGATATCAACGGAAACCCTGTAGGCAAAGCGGAGCCTCGTGAGGATTCCGAGGTCGAGTCCCAGGAGACTGAGGAGCTTGAAGAGGAGCAGCCTGACCGATCGATCCTGGAAGGGAAACGAGTCAACAAAGCTGGTAACGTTGTCGACGAATCGGGTGCTATTTTCGGGCGCGTCGTCGAGGGCGACGTGGCGTCGATTGCCGGCCGGATGTGCGACAAGGACGGCAACGTGCGCAGTGAGTCGGGCAGTGTGGTCGGAAAAGCCGAGGTGCTTGCCCAGGATAAGCGGCAGGGCCCCAAGGAGGGGCCGTTTGCGGAGCTCGAATGCACCGTTGGTAAAGACGGCAAGGTGGTGACGGCATCGGGCGACACCATCGGGCGGATCGTGTCAGGCGACGCAAATGCACTTTTCGGCCGCGTCGTGGACCAAGATGGCGATATCCTGGACCGCAACGGCAACGTGATTGGCAAGGCGGAACGGTGGGAGGAGCCTGTGGTCGAGAAGCCCAAGAGCCCACTAGCTGGGCGCAAGGTGAACCGTGAAGGCGACGTGGTCGACGACGACGGCAACATCATTGGCCGGCTGGTCAGCGGTGACAAGACGATGTGCTCGGGCAAAGAGGTCGATGACGACGGCGACGTGACCAACTCCAAGGGAAACACTCTCGGACACGTTGCCCTACTCGAGGATATACCCCCCGAGCCTGAGTCGGCCGAGGAGCGCGAGGAGCGCGAAAAGGCCCAGAAGGACAGGGAGCTGGCCGGGAAGCTGGCTGGATCCATCGAACAGTCTCTTGATAAGCTCCGGCCCATCCTCAAGCTCATCACCGACAAGATTGACAGGGCAGAGCGCACCCCCAAAGAGGAACTGGATGAGGAGCAACTCGTCAGGGAGGTCAAGCCACTCATCGAGGAAGGGGCCAAGGTCCTGACCGAGACCAACGGAATGATTCGCGGCATGGACCCAGACGGTCGCATCCAGCGAAACGCAAAGCATAAGACGTCCACTAAAGAAGCGACCCCCGAGGAGCATCACCTTGCCGAGATGCTCAAGGAGGTGAGAGAAACCTTGAAAAAATCCCCCCAACCTGGAAGAAAAAGATCCCGGGGCTAATGGCGAACAAAAACAACGCAGCTTACCACCAGTGTCACCGAGACTATCGACAATGCCAAGCGCAAGATTGAGGGCATGCCTCACGCGAAGAAAGAGCTTAACCCTCTGTGGGGTCTGCTCACCGAGCCTCTCTTCCAGATCATTGCCGCCGTCGGTCTGCTACTGAACGGAGTGCTTGGCCTCGTCGGAAGACTAGTAAGTCCATTTTTATTTTGTTTTCTTACCGTGTTTCCCTCTATCAAACAAGAAGTCTTCATATACTCACATCATTCAGCTGAGTGGTCTAGGTCTCGGTGGCCTCGTCGAAAACATCCTCGGCGGTCTGGGCATTGACAAGATTCTCGCCAGCTTCGGACTGGGCAGCGCCTGGGATGCTCTGACAGGAAGAAACCAGAAGTGATTCTAGTTATAATACGGTTGTTTTTATATACCGAAAAAAATTGGTTCGTTGACGTGTGCGGTGTTTAGTATTTATCAATCCTACTTTTAAATACTTTTGGTTTTCTGTTCTTTTCGATAATAATATGAACCAATTCTTCTGTCAACATTAAAGTATACATTATGAAGTTCTTTATTCTTATTAGTACTTGCATAATGAGAATTCTGTCTAATCTTAGTCATGCAATCTTACTTAGTGGGTTTATGGCTATATCGGGGCTATGACCAAAAGCGAGTATCCCACAAATAAAAAGTCTAGAGAAAAAAGTTCTAGCAGAATTTTCTTTCACAATGCACCTTCATCATCACGATGGCCTGGCGGCCACCTTGAAAGATGAAAGAGGTTGATGTGTTCTGTCCTCTCTTTATATCCCTCCTCTAGCTATGCGTCTCTTTCTCATCCGTCATGGCGAGACTGTCGACAACGTGGCCAGCGTCTACGCCGGTTCTCTCGACTCGGCCCTGACGTCGCATGGAGTCATCCAGGCCCGCCTGCTGGCCTCGCATCTTGCCGAGCACGCCCCCGCAGACACACACATACTGTCATCCGACCTGCAGCGCGCCGTCAAGACGGCCGAGGCTATACGGGATTCACGACGGTATTGTGCCGGCGATGACGAAGGAGCTAGGCAAATCCAAATAGTCTCTCTCATTCGTGAAAAAGATTTTGGCAGCGACGAGGGTGTCCGCATTGGTAGTCGCATGCCCTGTGGAGACAGTGAGTCGGTTGAGTCGATGAACGAGCGGGTAGACAGTTTTTTGGATAACCATATCCTCCCGCTTTGCCATCGCTCATCTGCGGACCACGGCGTCGCTGTTGTTGCTCATGGCATTATTCTTGGAGTTCTCTTCAGAAGGCTCCGCCATCGGCTCCCTAGTGGCGCAGTGACGTCTGCGACAACAGATATTGATCTATCATTGTCACCTTCATGGGGAAACACAGGCTATCTCGAGGCTACTTTGTCGTGGTCTGACTCCGAGCAGGAAGCCTCGTGGTCCGCAATGAAGCTCGTTATTCACCGCATCAATAGCCTAGGTCACCTACGTGGCTTGCGCAAGACGCGAGGCGGCATCGGCAGCGCCCGCTTCGACAGTGGTCAACGAACAATGGATTCGTTCTTTGCTCCCAAGAAGCGGAAGCTGGCCGATGCACCCAGTAATAGGTACGTTTGCTGCGTTTTGTTTTCTTCCTACCTACACACCCTTTTCCAACGAAGATATGATGAGAAACACAATTATTCACAGACCTGTTCTGAAATATTACGTGTGGAAAAATTTGTCCAACCGCTGTCTGAAATCTTCGCTCAATCAATCTTGACTTCTTTACTCCCTGAATTTGCGAAACACTTTGGCTAACATTCATGGCCTTTCTTTCAGTAGTGACATTGTCGACCCAGACACCAAAGACGATTCAATAGGTGCTAAAAGATTAAAATAAATTTTATAATTTTTTTAGAACACTAAATATCCGTGCTTGTTTCATCTCGACCCGTGAACACCTTGTACATTCTTCTACTCACAGCCTGCCCGATAGTCCTGTCGGATAGTTGCCCCTCGTTGTTGATCGTCTTCCTCACACCCTCGAGTCGCCCGGGCCCACCAGTCTCCAATCCTCTGACGAGATCGGTGACACTCCCAAATTCGACGGCTATGCCGTGGGCAATCGGAGCCGTGACCCGCGCAATCTCCTGCAGCATGCATATGTATGTGCTGGAGGCGTCGTCGCCCGTCTTGACCTGGCCAGACTCCATGCAGAAAGCGGCGCCGTACATGGCCCTATCCCTCTGCTTGCGGTAGGGTATCGTGGAGATGTGCTGCGTCAGCACAGCGAGCCACTGCGCCGTCTCGAGCGCCATGGCCGTGTGATGGATCAGCACGTCATGCATTACTTGCAACTCCAGCAGGGCATCTTCGACCACATAGTCAGGCACGACGACAGCAGCCTCAGTGGAAGCTGTGCCATTCCTCCTCCTCCAGTTGCCTCCTGTCTGTTGTTGTTGTTGTTGTTTTTGTTGTTCCTCTCGAGCGCGGACGCCCGAGGTAAACTGGCGGTTTCGGAGGTTGCGATTCTTGCGCGTCCACGATGCGAGTCCCTCGAGTAGATAAATGATCTGGTGGTCGGGAAATGCCTCCTGAACTTGGGTGGCATGAGCACCAACTCGGCCGTCGATGGCCATGCGGACAAATTCGGCTGCTGGTACGATGACGGCGGCGTGCCGCTCGCCCATGATGCGGCGTGGAATGGGTTCCCAATGGTCCGCGTCCTCGTTGAAGCGGCTCGTCACCTTGCGGCGCCACTTGATGGCGTTGTGCGGGCTATCCCACGTCGAGTGTTCGACCGAAAGGGCCTCCAACAGTGTCTCGACGTGCGTCCTGATTGACACGTCCAGCGTGGAAGGAAGGTCGACAATCATCTCCGGTGTCGAGACCTTCTTGTCTGTGCGCATCTTGTTCACCTCCACTAGGGCAGCGGCACGTTCCTTTTCGCGAAGCTTGGCCTCCTTGACTGCCTGCCTCTCATGCCTCTTGGTTTCCTTTTCGGTCTCCCGTTCGATCGCTGTTCTCCTAGTTCTCTTGCCATTGTTGGGTTGTGCAGTCATTGTTGATGAGGATGGCGCCTTTGCTCTTTCCCGTGAAGGGAATATGTCACTGCGTGAGCGCCCCAGCGGGGACCGAGTTCTCCGCGGCATCCACGCTAGGCTTTGGATGTCTGGCAGGTCGTCATCCGAGCCGCCGGCAGAGTCGGAGTCAATCTCAATGACATTCGAGCAACGCGCATTGCTCCGGAGCTTGTCAGTTCCTGTACCCATGCCTGTGGTCGTGGCTGTCTCTGGTGCAGAGCTCGAGATGGGGTCCCAGGTCTGAAGAGAGCGGCCATTGCACGATCCCGCTGTGATTACCTGCGGGCTGCTGCTCTCTATCTCGGGCAGGTAGCCACGAGTTGGCCCCCCTCGTTTTGCATTCGATGTGGGGGAGTCGGCCAAAGGGTCAGATGATGGCGGTGCAGGAATGGGGGTTGTAGATGCTAGTCGACCTTTCTTACGAAGCTTGGTCGGCAGAGAGGGTTTGAGCAGATTGAGTGACGATACATCGGCTGACTTCTCCCCAGCTGAACTGTGTTTTGTGGGCTGCGGCGGAGAGGTTGCAAATGGATCTGAACTCGGCAGTAGGTCGGTTGCCTGCTTTGTCGTTGGCGTCCTAGATTGAAATGACGATGAACCGCCTACCGGCGAGAGTTTTCCCTTCGAGTTGGCTCTATTAGACGGCTCATTGTGCATTTGAATCCCTGGGGATATCGATATCCGCCGCCGTTTTGCGCCCGCACTTGTGGTGAAACCCAGCTCGCAAATTGAATCATCATCGAATTCATCGAGTCCTAACACGTCGGCATTGGCGACCGTCTTAGAGGCTCGTAGTGCCCGATTTTCTTTTTCCCTGCACGTCTCAGCTAATGGCCTCTGAGTGGAGGCTTCTATGAGAGAGTCGATATCCCCGGTGACATCAAAATCGTCGGAAAGACCGGCAAAATCCACGATATTCAGCTCTGCCTCGTGTGTAGAACACGCAGCCCTCGTGCTTGCAGATTGCCGTTGTCCCCCCCCGGCTGGCGGGCTCAGCGGGTGCTCCCTGGGCGGGGTGGAGGATACCAGATCGATTACTTCTTGTGCCATCAGCCTTCTCGAAGCGGGTGAGCCATGATCCGAACATGACGTAAAATAACAAGGACAGCGATGGAAGTCACGTAGGAGGAGTTGGTGTGCGCCATAGAGACGCGAAGTCACGTGCTTCTTGGCCTACCCGAGGGTAAATAATAGCTAAACGCAAGAGTAAGGTTGATGGATGGAGCAGACGACGAAGAAACAAGTGTAATAAATATTTCTTGAACCCCACCTATGCATCTAGAAAATCTAGCTGTAATTCTCGTGGCTTTATATATATATATATTTTCTATTGCGATAGGCTAAGTAATGTTGTTTTTATAAAGCGGATGTCCACGGTGGTTCATTGCGCTTATTTGTGCATATAACATCTAATCCTGCGCCAAAAAGGCTGTTTAAACAGCGTAAATTCTACGGTCTGTAATAAACGATTTTTTTTTTTTTTAAAAAAAGTAATAGTAAGCTTAGTACAAGATATAAAAAAAAATACAACAATGACACCTCGATGGTTGTCTATATTAGAGTCGCCAGAGGCTTCACAAGTGGAAGGTATAGATACGTCAGGCGTACTAGGTTTCGGACTCGCATCTCCAAAGGATGAAGATGCTGCTACGTCACCATAATCACTGCGACTGCATGTATTGTCGGATACTCATAGCCATAAAGATATATTGGCCGACGACAGGCTAGTCTTATGCCATACTCTACCGCTCGTAAGAGGCTTTGCTCGCACCTGGGGCCTATTAGCTGACAAAATCGAGACGTGTAATATTGTTTGAAGTGACTTGATATTGATGGATGAAACGACCAGTACCCGGGATACTTTTCCGGGGAACCAGGAGTAATACGAGCAGTAACACTTGCACGGCGTACCCCGGCATCACACGGCAATGTGTCGAATTGAAATATATTACTCCGTGCTTGTAAGGCATTGTGGAACCGATCCTGGTGCACAACCTGATTGTGGTTTGATGAGCCGGGAAGCACTGTTGGAGGCAGCGCTTGATTGCTACGATGTATCCTAGCATGTACAGCGTACGTGTTGCGCATGTACGAGTGCTCTTTACATACTGATACATCGGACTTGTCCCCGTACAGTTATGGAGTATTTCTATGTAGAGTATTGTGAGGAGTAACGATACCCATAGGCTGATCTTGCCGCCCCTATCCCTTGCCCTCGAATCGAGACACGTCTCGGACCCTGCAGGAGGTGGCCCGCCAGTATCATCGACAGTTGCACGGAGCATTACAGACATGCTTCAGCACTGGTCTTGGGAAGCGTTGATCAATTCGTTCTCACGCAGCGGTTGATAGTCTCAATGCTTGAATAAGCAGACATAGCATCGGGGCAGAAAGGGGAGAGTGTCACACTAATATAATAGTACGGGCAATACCTAGAGGGTCGTATCAGTCTAGTGTATCTCACATAGATTGTATGGCGATATACATGTACGAGCGTGGGGCGTTGTTATTATATCCCAGCAGAAGTGTTACTAGTCACAGTACCCATATTGCGAGGATTACGGAGTAATATTACTATTAGAACTACGTTTGCGAGTACGAGCCTACGACTATTATGGCGGCCACCCTCCGTAGGTAATATAAAGACCTTCCATAGGTACTACAAGCTGTATACTTTGTGTTATATGCGAATACGCCGACCGTGAGACGCTGCAAGATATTAAATTGCGGACTAGGCTTTTGACTAGATCCCTGATGGGACGAGCGTTGCCAGCCTGTCAAATCTGGGCTTGGAAGTGGGACGTGAGCCTATGACAAACTAGCGCCCGAAGAGCCAACCGGTCATTGCCATCCACTGCGCGAGATCTTTTGATGGCGTATGTACTTGTACGATACTCCGTACTCGTAGTAGATGGCGCAACCCCTGATATCTATGTGTCTGTACGAGCGAATACTCCTGGATCCATGGCCCTGAGTAATAACTAGCTGACACCCTTGAGTACGGATAAGACATGTATTCATAGCTGCGCGTGCAGCGTGCGTCATATTTGCCAACACATTTTCACCAGGTACCAGGGCCCGGGGACCAGTACGGATGCACCCTGTTAAAGGTATCCACCTGCTAGTACGGAGGGTAATAATACGTCGCACTTATTACTCGTAGTCGCGTTGCTTCTCTTCATAATACTGCTCTTCGTACTGCTATTCGTACGAGAACGGGTAGCAATGTGGTGTACTCCCAGCCACGCAGCTCGTTACTCTCCGTAGCTACTAATAGTACTAGCTAGAAATTGCGCGTGCAGTGGTACGCCCTGCGTGACGAGGGAATCTCAACGCGCGTTGGTGATGACCATGGGTGCGGCACAAGATGCAACTCTACGACGACTATGGAAGAACAGGTGAATATCTTTTGGTAAAAAGTGGGACATGCAAACGTACGTATGTATGTATATCACATTAAAAGAGTACGAGTACTAATACTAGTCGTACTTACTGCTCTACTACGCTGTAAGCCGTGATGCACAAGTACTACGAGTACGTGTAATATATGTACGGAGTATTGACATGTATGATTACGATGTCGAGTCCGAATGTCATACAGGTGATAGATAGCTAATGTGAACAAAGAGGTCGGCGCCTGCTTCATCTTGCAACGACCAACTTGCGACATTGTACCGCCTCCCATTAGAGAGTTAAAAATAACGTCTAAAGTCCATGTGGCGCGGAGAAAAAAAAAGAGTTTACTCGCTACTATCAAGTACTAACATTACCCTGTCGTACGAGCATAGAGTAATATTACGTCGTAACAGTAAATACCTGGACGAGTAGGTGTAGTGTTGACAAGTTAAAGTAGTAAGTAATACATGTAGTAGTAGTACATACAGTCCTTGCTAGTACATGTACATGAACGAGAGCATTTCTCCTCAACTCGCATCATGGTGCGGGTAAAGGACTTGTACCTATAGATGCTAACACACGAGCAATCATATTTCCTGATTAGCATCATTCGCACCTTCTGATCGTGTCTTAGAATCCTACTCGTGCAGCGTACGACTTTGCCTGTACCCGTGCGAGTACGTTCAGCAACTATCATCAAATATGAGAAGGACAAAGAATTGGGGAAAGAAGCCCCTGACGGGAAAACCGCCAGGTGCCTGGTGCCTAACGGCAGCGTGTCCCCGATTTGGTGGCACCTTACTATAATGGGTATGGCGCACCTGGTAGCTCACAAATGGAGACTGTCTCTCAGCAAGAAGGCTACACCAATCTTGGGAAGGCGGCAGCAACACGCTTTTGCCCGCGTTGTCTACGCTTTGCCCCGTGCCTGTCTTGTTACTGGCCACACACTCTTGGGGTTCTCAGTCTCTTCTGGTGTCTCGTTCGTAATACCTGCTGTGGACACGGTCCGTTGCTCGTGGGCCCTGGCCCCTGGTTTTAGTGCCGAGGGTCGTGTGTGACTGCTCACTGGAACTGCTGTGTTTCCATCCCCTTTCTCTCCCACGCCTGTCCCACGCGTGGACCCTCTCTTTCCCGCCGTCCCCCCCCGACTAACGGGCCTCATTTCTCACAGGCCTCGTCTTTTTTCCTTTTTCTTTTTCTGCGTTCTCTTCTTTTTTTCTCCTTCTTCTTTTTCTTCCCTTTGCCTCACGCATTCTCTCATTCACTGCACTTCCCGGGGGAGTCTCGCTCGTTTTCCCTCGCATGTGTCATCCATGTTTCTCTGCGCCACACCCTGCTCTGCGTCGTAGTTTCTTTCGCGCATCTTTTGTCGAGCGGGACCTTTGATTGTATTATTTCATCTTCTGACACCCACCACACCCCCCCTTTTTATTTTTCCTGCAATACACACCACTCGTCCACACCACACAACTCTGCGACTGGCTGGTGTATGCCCAAACAATTTCGCCCTACCACGAGTACTCTTCAACACTCGTCACCACACACGTCCACGAGACGACGACACAAGTTGAGACGGCAACGACAACAGCACCAAACGACGACAAGCCCATGAGGGCCTGAAACTTAGTCGACTACCCTCCGGCAGGGCTCTTTGAGCGCCATCCGTTACCCTCTTCCTTTGTCTGTCGCCCACAGACAGAACGACGACCACTGCTTTCGCCATTACCACCATCTGCGCCCATCACCTTCGCCATGGCATCTTCGCCACCAGTATCGCCTAGCCCGTACCAGCGCCCGGCCAGCGCCATCGCCAGACCTGCTAACCGCACCAGTAGCCGCCTGAGTATGAATGGTAGCAGGATCGTTACTGGCGGTAGCAGAGCCTCGGATGAGGATAGTCGCACGGCCGTTAAAGTCGGTATGTCTTAGGTCTTACCACTTCTCTTGCCCCTCCCCCCTCCCTTTCCCCCGCTCACAACGTTCTCTATATTTCTGAGCCAGGCTAACCACTTCCCACCTTTACCACAGCCGTGCGCGTCCGTCCCCCCCTGAAGAGTACCGATCCTGGCTACGAGCTCATCCCACAACGTTTCCAACGATCGATGGTCCAGACCACGTCCAACACCAGCTTGGCTATCGACTCACCCCAGGGACGGAAACTCTTCGTTTTCGACCGCGTGTTCGGATCCGACGTTACACAAGAAGGCATCTGGGACTACCTCAGTGACTCTGTACAAGCATTCACCCAGGGGTACAATGTCTCGCTGCTGGCTTACGGCCAGTCGGGTGCTGGTAAATCTTACACGATGGGTACCTCCGGCCCCGGTGAGCAACATGATGAGGATATCATGGGCGTCATCCCTCGTGCTGCCCGCGCCTTGTTCGAGGTGCTCGAGGTTCCCACTGTCACATCTCCCAACAAGACCTCGAACCGCAACTCCCTATCGCAGCTCAAGACCCCACGTGCATTCAACCAGCATACCATGCTCGGTGACCGTAACTGGTCTCTCAAGGCTACATACGTCGAGATTTACAACGAGCATCTGCGCGATCTCCTGGTTGCCGAGTCCACCCCGGTGGGTGAGCGCGGAGCTGTTGCCATCCGTGAGGACACCAAAGGCAACATCATCCTCACCGGCCTTCAGCAAGTTGAAATCAATTCGGTTGAGGACTTGATGGGTGCCCTCAACTTTGGCTCCGCCATTCGCCAAACAGACGCCACAGCTATCAACGCAAAGTCATCACGCTCTCACGCCGTCTTCTCCCTCAACCTCGTACGACGCCGAAAGACGTCGACTGCCGAGAAGCGCTTCTCTGTGCCTCTTGAGACCCTTTCTGGCAGCGACGTTCCTAGCACTACAGACAGCAAACTCCACTTCGTTGACTTGGCTGGCAGTGAGCGCCTGAAAAATACGGGTGCTCACGGCGACAGGGCCAAGGAGGGTATCTCCATCAACGCCGGCCTCGCGTCGCTTGGCAAGGTCATCAGCCAACTCTCGTCTCGCCAGCCTGGGTCACACGTGTCGTACCGTGACTCTAAACTCACCCGTCTGCTCCAGGACTCTCTCGGTGGCAACGCCATCACCTACATGATTGCTTGCGTTACCCCTGCCGAGTTCCATCTGAGCGAGACGTTAAACACGGTACAATACGCCCAGCGTGCCCGCGCCATCCAGTCCAAGCCCCGCATTCAGGAGGTTGAGGAGGGTGACAAACAGGCCGTGATCGACCGCCTCAAGGCTGAGGTTGCCTTTCTCCGCGAGCAGGTCAGCAACAGTAACAGCAACAGGCAACCCAGCCCCCGCCGGGGTGCAGCCGGCCCTGCCGACAAGCCAGATCGTCACAGTGAACGCGAATCTGAGCTGCAGAACCAACTCCTTGACGCTCAGGAGAATTATACCGCCTTGGGCCAGCGTCATGCAAAGCTTATTGCCGAGCTTGCTAAGGCCCGTGAGAATGAGTTGGCTGCTGAAAACGCCCAGGCCGACGACGCTGGTGACAGCGCCACTGATCGCCTCAACCGCTCCAACTCGTTTGCACAGGCTGTCGAGCAGGTTGTCCTCGAGTACGAGAAGACGATCCAGTCACTGGAACAGTCCTTGTCGAGCACGCGCAGCATCCTTTCCAACACAGAGGCCAGCCTCCTGGAGAAGGAGACCAGGTGTGCCTACGCCGAAACCATCAGCAACCAGTTACAGGCGCGCCTCCAGAAAGTCATGGACCGCGAGGCCAGCACTGAGAACTACCTTCACGACCTCGAGGCCAAGCTGGACGGCCACACCAGTGGCGAAGAGAAAAATGCTACCATTATTATGGAGCTCCGGAAGGAGATCTCGCGCATCCGAGAGAATGAATCTTCGTGTGAGGAGTACATATCGACATTGGAGGAGCGCCTCGCCGAAGCTGACCAGGATTCTGAGCTCATGCAACGCGAGATCGACCGTCTCGAGCAAGTGGTTGAGCGCCAACGCAGCCTCGGAAAGCTCGACACCCTTCTTCATGAGCTCGACGAGGTCAAGGAGGCCAGACAGCCCGAGCCCGATACGCGAGAGGCCGCTATTAACGGAACGGGTCGCCGGCGTGGCGGCAGCACCGCCGGTCACTCGCGAGCGCAGTCGCATGTTAGCCGCCACAGCCAGATCGAGGAGCCCATTCCTGAGGGCGACGAGGATGCTGACTTCCCCAACGACGCCGAGCCCAAGATCACCACAGTCAAGGAGGAGGAATCGGAGGAGAGGCGTGGCGAGAGTCTGGTGTCGGAGACCGCCAAGCTGAACCGCCGTGATTCTGCCCAGTCTCGTTTCGTCTACGACAAGTTGGAAAATGTTACCCAGGAGCTTATCGACCTGCGTGTTGACCACGAGGCGACTGTCAACCAGTACGACCTGCTCCACTCCAAGTACGAGGAGGCCATGGCCAAGGTTGCCGAGCTGCAAGATGCCATTGATGAGTCCCGCCACATGAAACATAATGTCCGGGACTCAGTCTTATCCGACGCGGCTCCAGCTGAGCGTCCTGAATCCTTCTTGTCGGAGATGCAGGAGGGCGATTCGAAGTTTGGAGTTCGGTCGTCTGTTTCGCGCTCACTCTCCTCGGAGCTATCGTCGGCTATGGATTCCCCTGCTACCGTGGACACTTCCAACTGCGACGTCACCTCTGAGGATGAGACGGCCACCACTAAACCTGGTGCCTCCACCGAGGATTTGTCGCGGGCTCCTGCCTCGGCCACCCTGGGTGACAGCGACACAACCACAGGCGCAGACAATATGTGGATCCACTCGGAGCTTCAGCGTCTGAAAGCTGCCGCTGAGGCAAAGGACGTTGCTGAGAAGGAGCTTGCCAGCAAGTACGCCGAACTAGAGCTCAGACACAACGCCACCCTCGACATGGTCGAGGAACTGAAGACGGAGGTCTCCAAGGCCAAGGCCAACGAGGCCAGCTCCCCGCGCACCGCCAACCCCGTCATCCGCCGCAAGTCGAGTCAGAACCTCCTCATCGACCGCGCCCATCGTTCGTTTGCGTCGCTGCGAAACATCGCCAACGACAACTTTGGGGACGAGCCTGAGGTGATGCGGAACTTTGAGATCAACATCAATGCGGCCATGCACGAGCTGCACTCTCGGAGCGAGCGTATCCAGGAGCTCGAGGCCGACATGGCCTCCGCCAAGAAGGAGATGGAGACCAAGATGACCATAATCTCAGGTCTCACGCGTGAACGCTCCAGCTTGAAGGCCAGCCCCATGGACATGTCCATGGTGGCGAGTCTCCAGGACAGGCTTGAACAGAGCGAGAGGCGTCTGGATTCAATGCGGGAGGCGCACGAGGCGCGTGAGAGGGAGCTAAAATCGGCCGTAGAGCAGCTCGAATCTGAACTGGCGTCAGCGAAGGCCAAGGTTACAGCGTCAGACCTGAACGCAGACAAGGATCAAGCAACCAGAGATGCCGATGAGAAACAGCACAACCTCATCAACTTCCTGCGCAATGAGGTCGACGAGTACAAGGCCATCATCAATAGCAATGCCACCAAGGTCGCCGAGCTAGAGAGAGTCTACTCAAGTACCAAGGCTCAACTGGATGATGTCGCGAAATCTCACTCTGCCACCATGGCTGAGCTCGAGAATGTCAACAAGGCCCTCGATACTGCCACGCAGGAGTCATCAGCCCGCCGTGAGCTGGTGTCCAAGCTCGAGGACCAAATGGCGTCGCTTGAGCAGGAAGCCAAGACCCACCATGAGAGCATGGACGCGCTCAAGACCGCTCATGCTTTAGAATTGGCCGAACTCAGGACCCGTGAGCAGAAGGGCTACGAGGAGCAGGTCGAGGTTCTCATGGGTGAGCACGCTGATGCTATCCAGAAGCTTGAGGAGGAACTCGCAGGTTCTAGGGAACAACTCTTGACCGTTGCCACAACGGTCGCCAACGCCCTAGGTATCGAGGCCAGCACAGACAAGCTCAATGAGAGGATTGATGCGCTGGCGGCCGACCAGAAGGCCCTTGCTGCCGAGCGCAAGAAGACTGGTGAGATGGAGTCGCACGTCGCTGAACTCTCGACTATCAATGAAACCCTCATGAATGACCTGGAGGCTACCAAGAAGGCTCTTTCCGACATGGTCCCCGACGGCGGCAACTCGCTTGCCGACCAGCTGTCTGCCGTCAAGACCAAGATTTCCGACCTCGACAGCTTCAACAAGAAGAACAGCCGTCTTGTTGAGGAGCTCGAGGACCAGCTTCAGAATAACTTTGACGAGGCCCAGATGACCAACAACCGTCTGAGTTCGCTGCAGAGCGAGCGCAACTCGCAGATTGAGGAGGCGTCGACGACGCGCATGCGCATGCAAGCCGAATTGGAGACGATTCGAGAGGAGTATGCTTCGCTACAGGTGAGTCCGCCCCAACGACCCCACCCCTTAGGCCTTATCCTCTTCATAAGGACAGTCACGCCTGGCCTATCGCCGTCTCAAAGTGAAAACCTATCAGCTGACCAGAATACGCACATACAGGCCAGATACATCGAAGTTTCCGGCTCGGATGTTACGCGATCAAACTCCAACTCCACTGTCCGCAAGAGCGCCTCGCACACATCGCTCCCCTCGCCGCCGCCGGCAATTCCTCTACCGCCTCTGCCGAACGGCTCTTCTTCGCCGCCGCCACCTGTCAACGGTGTGCCTAGCTCGCCCACGAGCTCGATGCGCCCTCTCAGCAAGGACAATATCAATATTTCTCAAATAACTGAGGACCAGGAAGCGCGTATTCGCACCATTGAGAAGCACCTCTATGCCGAGCGGCAACTAACGCAGACGCTGGAGGAGGCTCTCACGGATCTAGAGAAGCAGTCCAACAAGGTCAAGGCGGACTGCGACGCGTGGAGGAAGAAGGCCTTGTCCCTAGAGAACGAGATGAAGGAGCTTAGGAGTCAGAGCTCTCCCGAACCTCGGCAGGACAACCGCTGGAGTCTGCAGGCAGTCGAGGAGGAACGCAAGAAACGCCAGGCTGCCGAGGCGGCACGCAAGCAGCTCGAGGAGCGCATGAATGCCATCAACAAGGGCAAAAAGAAGAAGGGAAGCCTAAACTGCTTCTAGTCGGACATTTTTCTCTTGATATCTGATGTCCCAACTTCTCACCTCGCCGCGATGCACCATGGTCATCCGAGGGCGCTAGAGTTTGCTCGACAGCCATGGACAGCCTCCCTTCCTGTTGTCCTCTTCCATTTTCTTTGATTACTTTTGTTTCGTCTTCTTTGCTGCACGCCCTTCTTCTCTTTTCTGGCCGGAGTTTGGAACGGACGGTCTGGTATGCTTTTTCCCACCCACCCCCCTTTCAATGCCTTATTGAAAAGATCTTATACCACTTGCTTTCCTCGATTGCACATATCAACGCCTGCGCGACGCACAAAATGAGACATGTACTTTTCCCTGTTTCTTTTCTCTTCCCATTTCCCCCCATTATTCTCTTCTTGTGTTTACTTTTTCGTGTCTATTGTCTATTTTCTTCTGCCATCCTCATCGCAGCGTGGGTAATGAGGTCGTCGAGTGTGTGTGACTATTGATTGACTGTGGAGACGATGACGATTCACTGCATTCCCAGCTCTCCTGTCATGAGCCTTTTCTCCTTTTTCCTTATTCTCGCACCGATGGATAGTTTCTTTTTCTACTACTTCTCCCTTTATACCACTTGAAATGAGAAATTGACAATATCCTATTTTCCTCGTTTGAGAACCCTAACTTGCACCGAAACGTGGTAACGGCTGTTTCACTCTTCCGATGGAAGTGCCTCTGGAAACCAGCCGAATTCGTCAAAGTCAACCATGAATTCGCCCATTGTATTGGCCGTGACGCGCACGCCTTCCTCTCTGAGTAACTCGGCCTGGTTCTGAACACCAAACATCTGCGACCTACATAAGCTCTCAGTCAGTGCGTCTCCTTATGCCTTCAATTATACACTTTTGGGGCGTTTCTCTCTTCTCACCGCGGTGATATGATTCCCCTGGCATTTATGACGCGCTGCCACGGGACATTGCCATTGTGGTACGGCGATTCACTCTCGGCCAGGGGCAGATGTTTCAAGCAAACGCCCACCTGACGAGAACGTTGGGCTGATGAAGGAAGGATCCTCAGCCTCAAATTCATTGTGAGGAGAATGAGGGACGGCAAACTGATGGATACATACGTGTCCCTATGAGGGCAGCAATGTGACCATAAGTGGTGACGCGGCCGTAGGGAATTTCTTGAATGGCGGAATAGACGCCGTAGGCAAAGGCTTCTGCTTCATCTGAACGGGCCATTTTCTGCGGGCTCGACTTCTTGCGGAGAAATAGGAGACGGGTAAAGATGGAAGGATATGACGACGTGATGACTCTGATTAAAGGCAGGCGTCAGTTCTTATATATGCATACTCGCATTATAGCATAACGACTGGAGGCTACCAACAGGCGCAGTAAAAAGTTGGGAGTAAATACATTTTCGTACGTCCAGAACGATGGAATTTTTTTTTATACAAATGACGGCTTTATTATGGGTTATAATATAAAAATCAGTAACGAACAGTTGACAGTTGCACCCAACTTCCTTGACCCCATGCTCTGGGGGGGATGGCGGTGCATCCAAGGGCGGTCATAGATGTGCTTCGGAGAAGGCCACAATATATGTCGACGGCGGTCTTGTATGCCAGGTGTTGGCGATTTTTGAGCCACAAACTCAGTGTCAGCGCCCACATAGCTTATTAATAGACGAGAGCGGCAGCGATGATGTCGCACTTGTCACGTAGACTGATGGACCCGAGCATAGCGGCAGCGTCCCGTGTACCAACCCCGCGAACCCCTTTATCTCTTCGAAATACTCGTATCTTCTCTCTCTTTTTTTTTTTTTGTAATTCCTCTTCATTTTAAGCCGTTTAGGTGGTCATTGTTAAAAAAACTCCTTTGACAACTGTCCGACGTACGGATTAGATATCAAATGGCCAAATCAAGCTGTCGTCCTCAGCGGACGTTATATATGTACGACGGAGCCACGAGTCTAGAAGTTGACGAGAGGAAAGGTAGGATCTAAGGGCTACCAAGGCTTGACGTCTTGTGTCTACCAACAAACCAGATCTGCAATGCTGAATATCGTGGCGATCCGCAGAATGATCAGTTGGCATTGTCCTAAGCAGCATTTGTGTACAACCTCCATACTGAGTTGGGAGAAGCTGCATGGTAGATCCGATAGATCTGCCTTTGCATTGAAGCAGGAGTTATCCCGCACTCCTTTCGGAGATGAATTCATTGGTCAAGTGGTTGGCCTCTTAAAGGGATGGGCCTCGGTGTTGAGGACATAGTCGTCCAGACTGATGAGCGAGGGTGGCGAGAAAATGAGGTAAAAGTATTTGAGAGTTTCAGCGGTCCAGAAGCTCTTTGAAAAACAACGTGTTAGCAAGATACTATGCATGTGTGCATATGTGCGTGGGATTGTCAACATGTGATATCCCCCCATTAGGGCTAGAGGCACGACTTACCTCCATCGAGTCGCGCTTCTTAGTCTTTCCGAGGGCCGTCACATCCTGGATGGAAGAGTAGGCCAGCTCCGTCTCCGTGGACTTTTGGATGCTCTTAAACATGTCCCAGGCCATATCCTTGAGGTACTCTTTCCCCGTCATGCGGTAAAGAAGAAATATACTCTCGATGGCCTCGGGGCGCAGGAGGAACCTAGCGTCGTCGATGTTGGCCCATCCTTCTCTGAGCGAGCTGGAACCTATTGCCTTGGCTGCCCAGACCTTTTCGTCCCACTCGCAGCCGTCGAGCGAGGCGCAAGGCACCATGGTGAACTCCTCGGGCATAAGCCCTGTTGGGAACTGATTATAGGCCCAGCCGCAGCCGCGAGCCAGGCGTTCTCCGATATCGACGTGGCTGTCGATGCTGAACAGTTTGCCTCCCAAGCCAAACATTCCACCCGCGAAGCACGCCAGGTGCTGGCTACGAGCCTTGCGGTCCACCTTAGGCGGCATCTTGTCATCAACTATGGCATCACCCGAGAAGAGCACGTCGGCCTTATCGGGAAGCATAGGCCGAAATAGGAGGTTGTTGGTCACCGCATCCATTGCACCACGGTATAGCTTCTCGTATGTGCCGTCTACCCCGCCTAGTAGGGCGTGCATTTTGGGCAGATACTCGTACAATGAGTCGGCTGCGGCACCTATGGTATAGAGGCTGTCGCGTGCGGCCTCGTTGCGAAAGTCGAGGCGTATCGGCCACATACCCGGAAGTGCCGTCTTATACTGTATGCGCTCGAGGAACCGCGTTACCTTATCAGTCGCCGCGTAGTATCGTGGGTCGCCAGTAATCTGCGACAGACGCGTAAATTCCAAGCACAACGACGCAGGCACAGCCGACGGGTCGCGCACACCAGCTTTCTGCGTCCCCTCGAGGGCGTCGCGAAAGTTCATCCAGTACCCGGGAAGGTTATTCGGTGTGTCAAACCCCCTGTGTAGCATATCCCCCAGCTCCTTGGCCTTTTTCAGCAGCGCCTCATTGCCGCTCAGATCGTAGGCTGACAGAAGCCCACCCAGGTAGCGGATCGTTGTCTCGAATAAGTCTGCAGCGCCGTCCTTGGTGTCGGCAAAGTCGATGGATCCGGCGGCCCAGCTGGCTTCGGCAAACTCATCATGTAAGCCCATAATCCAGAGAGTGTCAAGACTGTCGACCATGGTGGCAGCCCAGCCGCCAAAACTGCGCTTGCCACCCCCAGAGATGGGCTTCAGCTCGTCCTGTAGCCAAGCATGTTCCTTGTAGGCGTCCCAGCTGCGCTTGAAGGCGCGGCGGACAGCGTCGCGCCGTCGGTCAGGGCGCTGGTCAAAAGCGCTGGCGGGGGCTTGAATTGGGGGCAGCGGCGATGGCCGGCCCGTCGGGAGGGCCTTGATTGTGCGAGGCGGGTAAAATAGGGGGACTTGCGACCAGTCAAAACTGCTGGGAACAAAGGCTGGTGGCCTCGTGTGCGATGGCTCCAGTGCATGAAGTACGATGAAGATGAAGACCAAGGTGGCTGCAATGCCAGCCAACCTTGTTGCTCGTCTGGGGGTTGATACCATTACAGCCATGACGGGGCAGTATGCGCACGTTGCTCGTACGGGCACATGGAGGGATTCAGGAATAGAATGTTGGGAAAGTCAGAGGGCTCGTAGCAAAGCAGGATGAGGGATGAATTCCCAGGGGTAAGGGGTTCCTGCGCGCGCTCGTATGTGCCTGGGCGTCATGGCTACCGAATGTTGCAATCCTCTATGTCGATCAGTCAGGAGCAAGCAATCCAGTGGGTCAAAGCCAAGTCACGAAGCATAAAAGTATAAACCAAAATACGAACAAACTGGTGCTGGGGTAATTCTTGGCTGTGTTACCCTGTAGGCTGTTGTTTGTAGCATCCTAATTGCATGACTAAGCAACTAAGGGCTGCTGCCAAACGCACAACTGTAAATAGCCTAGTATATTGATTTCCTTTCCCTGAAGTGAACAAGCAACTAGACATACACATATCGGTCCCGGACTTATACGTAGGCAGAGACCACTGTGCTTACGTCTGGTCATCGTGTATTGTCGCCCACTGGAAGCACACGTTGTAATTAATCTAGCTATACTAGTACGGCGCAACGGTCGCAGTATCTAATTGAATTACAAGAGACTATTTAGTCACTATGGAATTGTCCTCAAGTTTCACTGGTTTTCGGCTATGGGTACCTTCAACCAGGTTCTAGGAGCGCAAAGAAGGAAAAAAGCTCGTGGTTGACACGAGAATACGCCGATGTGACAGAATGTAATATTGGTATTAATTAAACTTGCACCTCCGTGATTCGTCCAGGCCCCACGACCGGTATCGCAGTCTGTTTCAAAGTACGTGATCTTAGTAACAAGGAAAAATAAAAACAAGGAAGTCTAAATATCAGACAAGGAAAATGTAGTCAATGGAGAATAACGGTAATAGACAAAGTCTAAAGGCTGGTGTGAGAAGTCGAAAATCTGAATAAGATGTAATAATACGAGTACTGGCAGTGAGTGGGGACGGCCTCACTCTCGTGGCAGGACGCTAGCATCCTTGACCATGTCGAGGATCTCGGACACCATGATCTCTACATCGTCTGGGCGGATGGGCAGACGATGACCACCATCCCATTCAATAGAGCGGGCAGTCCCATCCTTGCAGTATTTATCGGCCATAACGCGGTGCAGATGCATACCAGGGTCTTGCAAGCCGTGAACATGGAGTGTGGGTATGCTGATGGCATGTTGACCCTTGTTGTCGGGGGCCAGGTCCTTGCTCTCGACACTCATCTGGTTGGCATTAGCCGTGTAGGGCACGGGATGCAGTTTTTTCTGGGGATCGAGGACGACAATAGGTGCGCGGCCGGCAATGATGATGCCAAATTTGAAGGGCCCGTCGCCTCCGTCAACATGTTCTTGGGCCCAGAGGAGGCTTGCAGCAATCTTGGCGCCCTGGGAGAAGCCCATGACGCCTACCCATGCGCCGCTGCCAGGGTCCTTGTCCATGGCTCTGCGGCACGTCTCGAGGATCTTGGACTCGGCCTCTTCATCATGCTCGTGGCCCCCCTCCCACCGAAGCCACCGATAAAATGGAGCCAGGTCACCAAAGAAAGGCACAATGTCTGGGTGCGTGTCCGAGTAGAAGGGTGCGTTAATAAAAACGAAGCGAAATGTCGAACCGAGGCGCCGGATAATGCTGCGGCTCTGGAGTTGAAACACGTCAGCGTTCGTGCCGCCTCCGTGGAGGCAGAGGATCCGCGGCAGTTTTAGAGAATTGTCGCTGGCCATGTCGTTGGTCAGGGAAGACTTGTGGCTGTCGAGAGAATGGGCAACTGCGAAGCGGGGTCGGTTGGGTATGGACCGGTTCGTCCGTGGCAGACTAATGCGGCAACCGTTACTGGGAAACTTTGGCTGAAGTCTAGAATCAGAATATAAAAAATTTCATCATTAGTATGTGTGTACCCATCTTCGAAGTTTATAGGTGTACAGTAACGTCTATTCCGTTTTCATTTCCTGCCTACCTTAAGGTGTCTTGGTTTGAAGCTTTAATGTCGACACGTTAAGGTGGGCGGGGCAGGGGACAGGTCGAGGATGGTGTGCTGCCTATGGACCGTAACAGGATTCAGCTGTGTGTTATACTATGTCGTACAGCATCAAGTCACGGGTGTTGACTCCACTACTGGAAAGCGTAAGCATGGCCGTCTCGTCTAGAACAATACTTCGCAATACATATAATGTAACCTGTACAGATATGGATAATACCCGTTGAACCCGTTCGGCGGTTTCTGAGGTGGGTCATGGTCCATTGAATAGGTACCGATCAAAATAATATACGGCGTATTTAGTAATTGCTGTTACCCTTCCTCTGCGTATCCTTTTATTGCGTGTGGGTATACACCCTGAGCCCCGAAAATCAAGCTGGTGTACGATATCCCCCCCCCCCAACACGGCTATTGTTTTGTAGCACGTATGAGGCGTGGTACGACGTCACGAATAGTGGATTTATGGGGCAGGCGCTATTTATTCATTAGTTGCGGCTTGCCTAGCTGCTCTATGGCCGTGGCCGTTGCCTGCCGCACTTCCAATCAGCCCAGACGCTATACAGAGCTGGGTCTGACCATCCCATGTTTATTACTCGTATCGAACCAAAGAAATGCGTATGTGGATACCATCATTCAGAAACAGATAAGCGCTTGTCGCTGCCGTCCCGTCGATCCTTTCCGACATTGGTCAATGCATTCAATTTGCTAGCACCTTATCAGACACACTTCAATGTGTGCTCAAACTTACATCAGTACCGCAATACGGACCAGCAGTTATGTGATTTAATGTTGACGTTACCAGCTGTGTCGATCAGTGTCGGGATTCGCAGATGCGAAGCACTAGAGAAGTGTATTGCTCCAAGAGGCGAGAGGGGACTGCAAGGCATCTGCTCCACGAGCTATAAAATATGTACGTCGTCTCCTTGGTTGAAAGAGAGCTTTCTCAATGCAAATAGATTCTCAAGCACTCGTGCGCTCAACACTTTTCGTTTCAAAGAAGAAAGGCAATCTCCAAGGAAACAGCAGCTACAAACATACCGAAACGTATAGACCAGCCATGTCTCTCACAGGGAAAGTTGCACTCGTCACTGGTGGCGCAAAGAATCTTGGTGCCGAGATTTCTAGGGACTTTGCCGCCCTGGGCGCCTCCCTGGCCATACACTACAACTCGGACAAAACCAAACAAGATGCTTCTGAACTTGAAGCTTCACTGAAGGAGAAATACCCCAAGCTCAAGGTCAAGTTCTACCAGGGTGACCTAACCACGGCTGGTGCCGTTGAGTCCCTATTTTCCTCTGTCAAAAAAGACCTCGGCAAGGTTGACATTATCGTCAACACAATTGGCAAGGTCCTCAAGAAGCCCATCGGCGACATCACGGAGAAGGAGTACGATGAAATGTTTGCGTAAGTCATGTAATCATCCACGGACGGAATGGGTTCTCGATGTGCTTCTTTCTTGCCGCATTTACTGACATATACAATTATAGTATCAACTCCAAGAGCGCCTTCCTTATCCTCCAGGCCGGCTCTAAGTACATCGAGGATGGTGGTAGCATCATAACCATCGTGACTGCCCTCCTCGCCGCCTTCACCGGTTTTTACACATCTTACGCCGGGTCCAAGGCCCCTGTCGAGCACTTCACCCGTGGTGTCTCTAAGGAGCTACAGGGCCGCCAGGTTCGCGTCAATGCCATAGCACCAGGCCCTATGGACACCCGTAAGTTTCATATCATCTTTGGCACCCGAGATCCCACTTAAATCACATTGAAAGCTAAAGCTAACCTCCTCTCATAGCATTCTTCTATCCCCAAGAGAGCCCCGAGGCTGTTGAATTCCACAAGAGCCAGGGTCTCGGAGGCAGACTCACCCAGATACAGGATATCTCTCCCCTCGTCCGCTTCCTCTGCACCGATGGCGGATGGATCACTGGTCAGACCATCTTTGCCAACGGTGGCTACACCACCCGGTAAAAGAAGATGGAAGAAATATGGCGGAGAGTATGTATCACTGGATTTATAGGTAGTGATTCACTAAGTACCTTCTAGCACAATTATTGAATGTCTATGCTGAACCCGTGAAATGGAAGAGGCTCAATCAGCACACCGCTGCATTCCACAACTCGCACGCTTAACTAACGCTGTATCACGAATATGCAATGCTCCGATACGCAGGCCGGATGCCAAGATGCTGAGTATCTACCGAGGAGGATGGCACTGTTATCCTATTTGTGAAACTGTTAGTACTATTCAAGTGTCGGACACTTTATTCATTTCCTGTATGGCCTTCATTGAAAGGGACTGATGCGCGGCCCTGACCTAACACGGCCGTTATTCCAACATGCCGCTGGCTGTGGAGTGATATCACGTATAGCGTAGAGTATTATTACCACAATATTACCACAATATTACCACAATATTACCACAATATTACCACAATATCACAACAGCTCATCTTATGGAGGCCATTTTATTCCAATGGTACCTCCTCTATATACTACTCGTGCAGACGGGGAGTGTGGCCTTTGATGGGGTGTCAGGAATCTAGCGGTTAAGTAAAGCAAAGAAGTCTTACTCAAGGTTCAAGAAGTGTTATCGGTGTTTCTGTTTATTCACAACGAAGTCACAACTAGGGAGGCCTAAAGGCAGGGGTTGTATTATATGGTCATTCATCTGTATATCCTTTATTCCTTCGTTCTGTTCCTTCTTATATCCTTCTAACTCCCACAATGCTCGTTAGTCCCGATTATCGTTTGCGGGGAACTCAGACACTTGTTCCACTAAACTCGGACTTGTGGGGTTGTTTCTGACTCGTAATCTTGGATCCTCCCTGTGGGTCCTCTGCCTTTTCGTGATTCATTCGGAATCCCTTCTTGGGGTTTCCGGGTGTTCCCTTCTTGGGTCTTTGGACATCTTGGTCCTTCGCCCTATTGGGTCTCTGACATGGGGACAGTGACTCTCTCTTTCTCAGTGGACGACTTTTAACCGAACGGGTGTTTATTAGACTACAGCATAGAAAGTGATTTGCAATTCGTTAGGAATGATGTTTGCATGTGCTGGGCTATTCAATCTTTCGGGGCATTTAATGTGTGAAGAAAGAAGATGATGTGATAGAAACAATGCTGAACTCGTACCACGTATATTGCAAATGCAAAATGAGGGCCGTCAAAGCCTCATGTTTATCACTCAGAGAGCCATGATGTCTTTCATACTTATCGGTACATCACTTTCAAGTATTATAAGACGGACACCATCCAGGATGAAATAATGACGGTAATGGGAATCCGAGCGACACAAATTTCCTAACCTACGATTAGTGTCTCGATAACATCTGAAAACGATTGATATCGGGGTAAGGTTTCAGACCACGAGTCGACTTATGGTAGGAGGGGGTGAGGAGGCAAGTGATAACGTCCGCTAAGTAATAGCGGGGTAATGGAGGAGTCGTGGTGAAGATGCTAATAATGAGGGGTGTGTATTGTCCTAGATTTCCATTTAGGAAGATGGCTACTTATAATATGACTGTCTGATTCCTTTGCCCCACTTCCCGCATAATTCCACCAATGGGTTTTGACAATTAATAACCCAATGTCCTTGTCTGTGGTTTAGATCAGGCTCGGTTCCGGGATCGAGTTCGGTCTCGGTCTCGGGTTCGCGAAATCCAAAGGTGCGATGAGACATGTAGTTAAGTGGGGGATCTACAGGATGATCAATTTGTATATCCACCCTAGATGATATTCTGCCTCCTTCTGGCACTCGCAAAGCCTACGAGTATGGATCATGTACGTGTATTCGGCAGTCACATTTTGAACGAGTCATGTAGCAAGCATGCTGCATACCCCTCCGCCCTGTCGGCAATCGGAATTTTGGTAATGGCCCCTGGTTTCTAGGATATGAAGAGTAACGCGGCTTTCACGGTCCCTTACGACAGGGCGCATGTATGCGTCTATCCGGTTTGATGCGATGTGCAAAACCCTTGACCGAATTGATGTCGTATTTGGCAATCTGTTACGCGTTAGTACGGGGCTATGATTGTATACAAGTAAACACATAGTAGTATTATCTGGTGAAATTTGCATCACTACCCCAGAACGCGCGATAGGTGGGGATTTTCCTGGGTTTCATTCGATACGGCGTCTGGCTGTCTTAGGGGGCTGTGATCATTACCCTGCGCAAAGGGGTCGTGTATGAATGCCTGTTGGGGTAGATTTCGTTCACGCGTTGCGATACGATCCCAAAAGTATAGATAGAATACTGGATCCTGATTTCTTACTATTTTTCTTCTTCTTTTTATCTTTTTTTACCTTCATCCCCCCCCCTCCCTACCCCTTTTCTTTTCTTTCCTTTTTTCCCTTTCTTCTTTTTTTCCTCGTGCAATAAATCATGGCCGGAAGCGCCATCCACATCGCACCACCGTCAGCGGATGTTATCAACCTCGCGATCGCTAGCATCGTCATTCATTCAATATTACTCCCTGTCGCCGCCTGGATAACATGGAGCCACGGCAAGACGGGAATGCTCTGCTGGCCGATTTTCCTCTCCTTCTTTGCACTTCAATTTCTCTCCGATGGCTGGCAGATCTCTGTTCGTGATAAGCCCAACGTTCCAAACGCCGTCTCGATATTTACCAACGCCGGAATAATGACATGCCTTGCTTTTGGTATTGTGGGCATCGTATTTGAGGCGTAAGAGCAACATATCTATACTATAGTGGATTGTAAGCTAATATCTTCGGCATAGAGGAACCATATTTCCCTTTTCCAGAACTCCCTGGGTCAATAGAGGGTTTCTCGGCCTCACGCACCTCGCCAATACTGTTGGAATTACATTAGCGACGTATGGTGGCTCACCCAGTGAAAAAAAGCATGGCCAGGTTGCCTCTTCCATACTGAATAAGACGGGAAACTGTCTTATAATCTTTGTTCTGGCGGTTCTTGGCATATGGGTTGCTTTGATTGCTAAAAGTGTCTTGCGATACCCAAACCATCCCCACGTGCGACATGCTAAGATCATGCTGATCACAGCATCCTTGGGCTGGCCATTCCAAACCATAAGGACCATCTATTCCGCGACATATGCCTTCGACCGAATACCTGATTTGGATCCCGTTATGGGTTCCTTCACCACAAAGCTGGTTCTGATTTTTGGTCTCCAGCTTATTGTCACCCTCGTTCTCATAGCGGGCGGGTGGCTCACTAAGGACGTGAACAAGAATAAAGCTTTGCGGGTACGAAGTCATGAACTCGAGTTGGAAGCGTTAAATAACTGAAAATTTCGACAGGATGACATGTCCAAGACCTTGTCCGGGTGGGAAAATCGCTACGGCTTTGATTGACTGGCCTTCGTGCCACGCCATTATGCGAAGGGTCTATTGGGGACGTCGTGGGCCTGATAGAGGCAGGGAGACTAGGAATTTCTAAGAGTCCGGAGGGCTCGATAAAGCCATGCGTAGGGCGTCTAAACCCGCGTTCCTTCTTTTCTGTCCTTTCTCTAGCTTTCTTTTAATGTAAGAAACTGCTTGATACTATTAATATGTTTGATTAAATACGAATATCAATATTGGATATTGGCTATACATGCTGGTCATGTAAGAGAAAACTATAATATCCTTACACGATTGGCTTATCTTTCTCTATCACGGCTCCTACCCTTAGACGGAATACCAGTGCTTGCTTCTAGCTCGTGACCGAATTTACCATGCCTGTTATGGAAAACTAACACATAGCTTAGGTAAGCGGGACTCACTATAAAACAGTCGAGTCTATCGCTCTATATTACGACCCATTGTTACGACCCGTTACGCGGCCCTCACGTGTACCCCACTATTTTCTCTTACTCATCACTCTCACACTCACTTACAACAACCACCCCGTCCTAGATCACGGTGATCCCTTGTGTGACGTTGGGGTCAACTCTAAGCTATAGGGTAGATAGAGATAATGTCGTTTTATATTGGCGAGACAGTTAAGATATCGTACTAAGCAATAAGGTAGTTATAGTCGTAGGTACTAGTGCTAAAAGGAACTAGAGTTTTATAAGAAGCGTTAACTATATTATTAATAGCTAGGTAGAGAGTGACTAGACTATAGAAATAAGGTTAACTATATACTAGGCGATC